ACTCCTTTGGAAATTATTTTCCCCCATCTATTTGTACCCATAAAGGCAGGGATTTTCCCCATATATTTATACCAATTGAAGCAACATCCCTTCTTTTTGGCTTTTTCCATTTGTCACTAGGTACTCCCATTCATTACATCTCTTGTCGATGAATCCCGAATCTATGTGTGGGAGATAGCAACATCACACTAGTGCACAGGAGATTCTCTTCTATGCCTTGGGTTATGGCATATTGTTCGGGCAGAACAAGTTTATTCTTGGATCATTAACTTGATCCAAGAATGCCTGTTGGACAATAGGGAGGGATTAACTCTGCTATAGCTGAAGTGAGTGACTAACGCTGACACTGGATTTAAAACTAGGAAAGCGTACAATTATGTATCAACTTTGTGAACACAAAACAACATAGTCAAGAAGTACTTCTCTTCCCATCTCTGATAACAGTTCTTGTCCACTGTATACTAATTATTTGTATAAATTTGAACCCCATGTGATTGAGGATTTAATATCATTTAGAGCACACACACAATGGAGAAAATTTGGCATGGCTTTTATTTGAGTGTTGATGTAAAGCTTTATTTCAAGCAGTCATGACCATTGGTGTCTCTTAAAAATCAAACTTACGAAGAATTACTATTAAGCTTGATTTCCAATTTGGATCAATCTCATTTACATGAACTTGAAGTGCTGATGACATAATTATGATGTTAATATAATGAGAATTTAAAAAAAGTATGCTTCAAAGTGCTTGTGGATTAAAATGATTAGTTTGAATATTGGACATTGCATTAGTATTTCTATCATGTGTGTCAGAAACTGCTAGTTTTAAATGTACTGTATAGTTTGTGTGTACATTGCATATTTGTGATGGTAGCATTGCATTTATGAATGAAGCACAAGATCAAGACGGAGTGCAGTCTGTATTCTTCTGTTGAGTGCTTTGTACATGTCTTTATGAGCTCTATTCAGTGCAATTTTGTAATGTTTAATATATGTGTTTGAAGTTGTTCATATCACCGATTTTTATCATTCACCCAGAAGCAACCATTTCATTTTTTTAAGGAGCAAAAACCATGAGTCTTTTTCAGAAGCAGGTAAATATATCACCATTTTAGGAAAAGAGTTTTATTATTTTTATTACACCAGAGCCATATACAAGAGCCATGAAGATGCTTCAAATTCTGTCATCATATCCTACGCTGATAAATGCTGTTGGAACACCAGGCTAATGACCTGATGGTAACGCTCAACGTTTTAAAACTTATATTCCATATAGTATTAGAAACTTAATTTTCTTATTTTATTCCGTACATTGAAAACATCATATATTTTGTGTTGTATAAATAACTATTTATTCATCCCTGCGATGAAACATTTAACCAAGGTCCTGTCTCCCTGTTCAGGTGGACATTAAAGATCTCCTGCAGCGCTATTCAAAAAGAGAAGGGAATTACTCTCTTCCAGTGTCGTGGCCAATAATCCCCAAATAAAATTGGTCGCTCACTCCACGGTTGTTTGTGGGATGCCACTGTGGATAAACTGGCTGCTGCGCTTTGCCCACAAAATAACAGTCATTGCACTTTACAGGATATCCTGTGAAGTACTTTGAGATGTCTCGACAACGTGATAAGGCGTTTAATCAAATGCAAGAATTATTATTATTTTTGTGCTCCTGTACTGGTTAAGTGCAGCAGGGGCAGCATAACAAATCATAATAAACCTTTGCATTCTTACTTTGTTTTAATGAGAGTAACTGAGAATGCGTTTGGAGAAACCAAACAAATCAGAGACCCAATCTTGAGAACCTCACAAATTATATATTCAAATACTGTAAATAAATAGTGCCACAAAATGAAACATACAAATGGAGAAAACTATGACTAGAACCACTTATAATCCTCGCATTACCACGCTGTTGAGATGCCTCAAAGTGCTTCACAGGATATACAGTGCAATCTGCTTTTACTGGATGCAGGGTAACCCCAGATGTCGGGTAAATCAAATAAAATGCCCAGCCCCGATTCATTTGTTTTAAATATGCCTGTTAATTTGGTTGGAAATCCGGTTAATCTGGACAAAATGCCGCACTGATCGCCGCTGAATGTACTCACTCAGGCCTTCTGTGTGTCAAACCATCAGCCACAAGTGGCTCCAGAATGGAGTTAGAAGGAGTCTAATTGCGATTGATAGCGGACTCCAGCCATTCACAAGCAGCTGGAGTTGGGCTGTCAATCAGTGAGGGGGCGGAGGTATGAGAAAGAACAAGGAAGGGAATAGGAGGAGTCAACCTGAGATCGATTAATTGCTGGAGCCTCTTGTGGATTGTTGGATCCCAAACATTCACAAGCGGCTGAGTCTTTCAATCACCTCAGCGCCGCCACTAATTAGTCCCCTTCCCGTCCAATGGGAACGGCAATGGGAGGGAGGAAGCGCTGCTGTTCCTCTGCTCAGCGGGAAAGTACTGGGCTGTATTTTGCAGCCAAACAAAGGTAAATATATTGTACAGAATTCTGTGTGAGTATTTTCACTTTAACTGGTTAGTTAGCATTGCTTCAACTGAAACAACATAATTACATATTATTATACGGTGCCACAGCTCCTCTGCTGGGCATGAATGGTATTTCGGTTAACCTCAGACACCGCTTAAATTGGACAAAATGCCCAGCTTCCACTGTATTGTAAAATGGAATGACTGGATATTTTGTGGGTGAAATATGGCAGCCAGTTGCGCACAGCAGGGTCCTACAAACAGCCATGGATGGAGTGACCAATTTTATTCAGGGAATTGTTGGCCAGGACACCGGGAGAATAATGCCATAGGATCTTTAACATCTGCCTGAACAGGTAGAAGGAACCTCCGTTCAATGTTTCATCTGAAGGACTCAATTCCTACAATGCAACACATCCCCAGCACTAAATTGGAGTGTCAACTTAGACTATGTGATTCCAAGTCTCAACGTGGGGCTCAATCTTCTAATGCTACCACTGGGCCAGGCTGATACTTGCACTTATAGAGTGCCATTCAAGTATGCGAATCATAGAATCAGTCTCAAAGCACTTTACAGAGATGGAGTGGGAACCCTATCAGGGTGGGATAGGTAGGAGATGCTCACAGCAAAGCACAGTCAAAGAGATATTTTTTAGATTGGTTCTGAAAGTGGAAAGAGTGTGAATCAGAGAGATTCTAGGAAATGAGGGCAAAAGTGGAAGAAAGCTCACTCACCTATTGATGGTGTGGCCGGGAATATAAAGCTAGCCTGGAGTTGATGATGGAGCGGAGGGAGTGAGTAGAGTAGGGCCACAGGAGTTCAGAGAGATAAGAGATGTGCCAAAGTCATGGAGTCATTTGAAGGTGAGGAGGATCTTAAAGCTGATGGAGAATTGGGAGCCAGTGGAGACAAGCAAGGAAATTGTGCCCACCTTGTGCGGGAGAGAATGCATCCTGTGTACAACAACAACAACAAGATTACATTTGTATAGCACCTTTCACATCGGGAGGACGTCCCAAGACACTGGACAGAGTATAGCATTTCAGACCCGAGCTGGGGTTGGGAGGGGAAGGGAGGGGAGCGATGGCATGGTCGAAGAGGAGGGTCTTGAGGCGGGACTTGAAGGAAGGCTAAGGAGGGGGAGAGGCGGAGTGACTGGGGGATGGGATTCCAGAGGTTGGGGGCAGAGTGGCTGAAGGCTCTCCTGCCAATGGTGGGGCGGGTGGGTCGGGGGACGTGGAGCAGGCCAGAGCCGGCTGAGCGGAGGGAACGGGCAGTTGGTAGGGGGTTAGGAGGTCGCAGAGGTAGGGTGGGGTGAGGCCATGGAGGGCTTTGTATGTGAGGACCAGGATCTTGAACTGGGTCTCTGAGGGATAGGAAGCCAATGGAGTCGGGCGAGAGTGGGGGAGATGGGGTCATGGAGTTTGGTGCGGGAGAGGACACGGGCTGCAGAGTTCGAGGTTATCTGCAGCCTGTGGAGGGAGGAGTTGGGAAGGCCGACAAGCAGGGAGTTTGCATAGTCGAGCCTGGAGGTGATGAAGGCATGAACAAGATTTTCAGCGGCCTGAGGGGTGAGGTAGTGGCGGAGTCGGGCGATGTTACAGAGGTGACGGAAGGCAGAGCGGGTCATGTCTTGAGTGAAAAGACAGTTGAGGGTCGAACAAGACACCTAGGTTCCTGACTGGCTTAAGACTATAAGCAGAGTACACTTCAAAGAACATCTGTTGCACTAACTCTGTGCTGCACAGTCAGCACATGGCATAACAGCGCCTCGGAAACTCCTCCCGAGATGAAAGGCGCTAGACAAATGTAATTTGTTATTGTTGTTGTAACCCGCGCCATCTTCCTTTCCGGTTCTTTTCCCTCGCTTCTCCCAACTCTTTCTTCCCTGCCCTACCAACAAACAACAGCATGAACAACCCGCGGCCGGCCCCTTATGATCAGTTGCAAATCAAACAATTGAATGTTAAAATAAAACTTATTCTAATCTCCCAATAATAATTAAAGCTATCACGAGCTCAACGGCGGGCGATAGTTGACGCCGGCTTGTGCCGCGCGGTGGCGAGTGACGTATGTGTGGTGGGAAGCAGCTTTGTACGTGTGCGATGTCGCCAAATTAGGCGGGTTCACGCCCAAAGTTGCGCGAGGTTTTCTTGCTCCGTGCGTGGTTAAAGAACGGCTTTGGGCACGTGCCTATTTTTAAAATGTTTTACAAAATCTAAACCTGTAAAACTTTTTGTATCTATACATGTCCTTGTGAAGAAGTTTTCTTGTACTGTTTGAAAAATCACTAAATCTGAGTTGCTGTGCTGCACACATTGGAGGTGACGCATGAAATTGGGCTACTTTTGGGCTGCGAATACATTGTAATTTGTGGTCTCATATTGGAGGCGACGCATAGGATTGGGCTACTTTGGGGGCTGGTATTCTATGGACTTTGGGCTACTTGCGTTCCTGCCCATATCTACAGGGCTACTTTTGGGCTACAAATGCATTTGAATTTCTGGGCATCATGAGGGTGGCGCATGCGCACTGCGGCCCCGGCTGCTCCATGGCTGATGTGTTGGAGTGAAGACGAGGTTGAGTAGACTCGTTCCGGTGTTTTGGTCGCTGTCTGTCTGTCTGTCTGTCTGTCCCGCGCTCGCTCGCTCGCTCCGGCCTCTCAGCCCTCGCCCCCGGGAGACGACAGGGAGGGAGGGAGGGAGGAGGCCGTGTCCAAGGCCCGCGCCGCGCTCCCTGACCCGCTCACAAACGCTCGTGTTTTTTCTCTCTCGGGGGCGACAAAATGGCGAGAATCTATTCCAGGCTTTTCTTTATATATATATTTATATATTTATACAAAAACTGAGGCCATGTGGGGTCCTGTCGCCAGAGAGGTGGGCATGTACTGCCCCCCCCCCCCCCCACACACACACACCAGGAAATACACGTGTCAACAAATAGTTATCATTTTATTTTTCATGAGGAACAATAGACACAGTATTGCACCTTCCATAACAACCCCCTCCCACACCAGCAGACAACTGCTCTGCATGTCGTTCAACCTGTAGTTTCTGTAAATCTCATTATAATGTGCAGAATGTCTGAGCGCTACGCAAAGTCACAACAAAGGTGTTGTGACTATTCTATTTGTAGGCTAATACGGCAGCCAATTTGCACACAGAATTGTCCCGTGAGCAGTTATGAAGTGAATGAAAAATTTCACTGCAGGAGACTGGGGCGCCAGGAGAAACTCCCTTCTCTTTAAATCGCATCGCCTATTTGAGAAGAGAAGGGAGTTCCTCCCGGTGTCTTGGACACAATCCATCAGATAAAATTGGTCCTGCACTTCATGGCTGTTGTGGGACATTGTTATGTGAGTTCACCCATAAACACAGTATATCCTGTGAAGTGCTTTGGGTTGTCCTCCCAATGTGAAAGGTGTTATACCAAATATAAGGATTATTATTGCCACAAGACGGTGTTTGGGAAACCTCTTCACTGCAAAGATGAAGGTATAGATATTATTGTTGCCATGAGGTATTGTATGCATATTTTGATATAATTAATATGCTGTGTTTGTATAGACATCACCCTTTTCAATTAAGATGCTGCTTGGTTTTGGTACCAAATGTGTTCTCATTACAATTCAAAGAACTCATCTCAGGTAGAGAGGTTTCCATTTGTTAATTTTCTTTGAAAAGTACCCATTCCGTTTTGTATTGGATGTTATTGTCAATAACAAGCTGCCCATATATCTAATGTAGGAAATTACAAGGTATATTACTTGCTCTTTTTTTTAGAAAAAAGACTGACTGTATGTTTTGTGGGTGAAACACAGCAGCAAATGCACACAGCAGTGTCCCACAAACAGTCAACAACAACTTGCAATTGTATAGCGCTCTTCACGCAGAGTAGCATCCCAGAGCGTTTCACAGTGGCGGAGTCTGACCTCAAGCCAGGGAGGGGAGTGGGGGGGCGGGAGTACAATCAAAAAGGAAGGACTTTAGGCAGGATTTGAAAGTGGGGAGGGAGGGGGCAAGACAGGAATTCAGGGAGTTTTCAGAGTTTCGGGCATAGTGGCTGAAGGCACAGCCACCAACTGTGGAGTGGAGGGGACGCGGGACGATCAGGAGGCCAGAGTCAACCGAGCAGAGGCACCGGGTGGGGAAGTGGGTGGTAAGCAAATCGAATGGATAGATCGGGAGGTACGAAGACATGAAGCGATTTGATTAAAGAGTGAGAGGATCTTGAAATCGATCCATTCAGTAATTGGGAGCCAGTGGAGCCTGGCAAAGACTGGTGAGATGGAGGTACAGTGTTTTGTGCGGGTGAGAATCCAGGTGGCGGAGTTCTGAATTAATTGTATTTTGTGTATTGTGGATCTGGGGAGACCAGAGAGGAGGGCATTGGAATAGTCCAGCCAGGAAGTGATGAAGGCGTGGCTGAGGCTTTCGGCTGCTTTTGTTGTGAGGTATGGACAGAGGTGGGCAATGTGATGGAGATAGAAAAAAGCGATCCTGGTCAGGGAATGGATGTGGGGTAGAAAGGAAAGCTGGGGATCGAACCTGATGCCGAAGTTGTACACAAGTTCAGAGAGTCTGAGGGAGAGTCCGGGGATATTGAGGAGTTCAGACCTGCAGGGGAGAGGACATTGACGGGAGCCAATGAATAGGGCTTCCGTCTTGCCGACATTCAGCTGCAGGAAATTAGCACTCATCTAGGCCTTGATGTCCATCAAACAAGCTGATACGACATCAGGGAATTGGAAGTGGCAGCTGGAGGAGGAGAAGTAGATTTGGGTGTCATTCGCACACATTTGCAAGTTGACTGCATGTCTATGGATGACATGGAGAGTGTGTAGATAAAAGAAGGGGGCCAAGGATGGAGCCTTGGGGTACTCCACAGGTGACCGGGTGGGGCCGGAGGAGAAACCATTTGCCGAGATGTATTGTTGACAATTAGTTAAGTAGGACTCAAACCATGCGAGTGTGATCCCACTAAGGTGGATGAGGGAGTAGAAGTGGCAATGATCAAATGTGTCAAACGCGGCGGAGAGGTCCAGGAGAACGAGGAGGGAGAGGGAACCTTGGTCACAGAGAGAGAGGACATCATTTGTTACTTTGTTGTGGGTTGAGTGACCAAATTATTATTTAAACTTTTTTTTAGAAGTGATTATTACCCCAGTAAAGCGATCCGCCATTGACTAACAACTGGATTTCCACTTGATGTGAGGTGTGCAGAGTAAGGAAACTTAACTAATGTTTTGCCTGACTGGGAATCAAATCCAGGTCCTCTTCCTTGCGAGGCGAGTGCTTTAACCATTACGCTACAGGACTCTAATTGAGATGGAGAAGGGATAGACAGGTGAAACCCGGCCATGAGGTTTTGATGCAGTGTTCTCAATACAGCGCAAAAAGTGTTCTCGATACACTACAAAGATATTCAGCTGTATTCTGCTCACAATCTCCGAGCCTCAACTCTGGTCTATTGCTTGGTCCTCACTTTCTTTTTCATTATCAGTGAAACTGGGCGGTTTCATTCCCAGTGAAACTATGCCAAACCATATTTACTGTACTGTAATTTACCTTCCTCTTGTAATTATTCATACTGTAACATTGCCGTCACCTGGCTGAAGATCAGTACATCAAGAAAACACTTGCTTTCAGGATTAAAAATTAATGGAATAATGCTTTTAGGGACAATTGTTTTTTTGGGGAATTTTTTTCCCAAATCCCAATGTCGTGCACTCTTTCTCCCTTCAAAATCCTCTTAAAATATAACTTTCTGGTCAACATATTTAAATTCACCCTTATTTCCTCTAATTTAAACAATGTAGGCCTTACCCACTCCACCTATCAACATTACTGTATGGCAAACTTAAATGCAGCACATTGATGTGATGCTCCAAATCTAATAAAATCAAACTGACATAATGACAAAGCAAATATATAAATCCATTGAATTTCATACTTTATTAAACAGTAATGAATGCTGCATATTGTTGATGAACATATTTATTCAGTTTGTGAAAGTGGCTGCAAATCATGACTGAATTGTGCAGGTCTCCTTCAGGAGCTCATGAAATCTGGTGCTCAGCAACTTTATTTCCAGTACAGTAAAATTCACATAAGTCCGATATAATCGTATAATCGCCTAAGTTGTATGTACATCTGCCCAAGTCCCATTCACGAGCTTATATTTCATGCAAGTTTGACATAACTCATTCTTTGCGTAAGTCATATTAAAAGTATGGTCCCAACCAATACGACTTTTGTGAGGTTTACTGTATTCTAATTTTCAGAACTTGTATGTGCACCATCTTTTTGCACTGTGGAAGTTACAGGGAGTGCTTTTTTCTTCAAAATACTGCCCTGCATATATATGTATATATATATTATATATATATCATGTATAGAAAAGCAGTAGATTTTGGTATCTGAAGGAGATCTATAGTGTTGGATCTGCTTTCCTAGTAACATGGGAAGAACCATAAGTGTCCTGAGCAATTCCTTTCATTTCAGCAGAGTTCAACGCTTAGGTTAGGAGCTACTGCAGTTGCTTTATTTTCCTTTTATGTTTTTTCCCCAGCTTTATCTCTTTTTCTAGCATTATTTCTCTTATTGGTGTCTCTCCCACTGAGAAAAACAATCTGACCAATAAAGGTAGAGAGTAGTTGTACTGCTCTATAACATTAGTGATTCTCACATCTATAGCATGCAACAGTCAAGTTTGAAGTATTCAGCGAATGCTCAGTAATATTTCTGCACTATTGTGAATAGATATCCTTCATTGTGGATTCCTGATCTAATTCCATTAGGGGAGTTTTCACAGTATAGGCTCAATGGACCAAATTGGCTCCTGTTCTCAAACTTTATATACCTTAATTTGTCTGTATTCAAATCTATTTGAAACTCCTTAGAAAATAACAGGATCCCTTTGAATGCTGTCAACTTTGCTCATCACCTTGCCACAGAGCAAAGCATTGTAAGCAATCAACAACAACAACAAGATTCCACTTATAGAGCGCCTTTCACGTCGGGAGGACGTCCCAAGGTGCTGGACAGTTGGGTCAGAGAGGAGGGGGTAGAGAGTTGAGAGGGGAGCTGAAGGCACGGTCAAAGAGAAAGGTCTTGAGACCAGCCTTGAAGGAGGAAAGGGAGGAGGCGGCGAAGGCACTGGGGGGTGCAGTTCCAGAGCCTAGGGGCTGAGAGGCTGAAGGCCCGGCCACCGATGGTAGGGCAGTTGGGGTGGGGGTTGTGGAGCAGACCGGAGCCAGAGGAACGGAGGATACGGGCAGGTAGGTAGGGGGATAGTAGGTCGGAGAGGTAGGAGGGAGCGAGGCCGTGAATGGCCTTGTAGGTGAGGATGAGGATCTTGAATTCGATCCTCTGGGGATGGGAAGCCAGTATAATCATATTATATAAAGTACTGTCCCATTGGCAATATACAAATACTCAAGTTTACATTAAGGGATATGAAATCTATCCCTGTGGAATTGCAGTTGCTTATTCATCCTATCAAGTTCTTCAATAGAATCATAAGATCTTACAGCACAAAAGGAGGCCATTTGAAAGAGCTACCAACTAGTCCAACTTCCCCACTCTTACCCCATAGCTCTGCAAATTTTTCCTCTGGTTACCAGCCCACACGCCAGAGGAAACAGTTTCTCCTTATCTATCCCCTCATAATTTCGACCACCTCTATTAAATCTCCCCTCAAACTTCTCTGTTCTAAGGAGAATAATCCCAGCCTCTATAATCTCTCCACATAATTGTAGTCCCTTACCCCTGGTATCATTCTTCTAAATCTCTGCACCCTCTCCAAGACCCTGACATCCTTTCTAAAGTGTGGCGCCCAAAATTGGACACAATATTCAGCTGATGCCTAACCAGCGATTTGTTCAACATAACTTTCTTGCTTTTATACTCTATGCCTCCATTTATAAAGCCAAGGATCCCATATGCTTTTTTACTTCGTTTTTAAACAAAAGTTTCTCCTTTTTCTTCCTGAGACCCACGTGAGTTTCTATCGGGGTCTGTGTGTGCGCGTATGGGAAGGCTACATTGAGCCTTTATCGCTCTTCATTGTCATGCTGATGTGCTTTGAATGTTCCTTCTTAATTCTAACACAGGCACTTGAGGGGTGCCTCAAGTGCTTTAAGTACTGGCTTTTCATAGACGATCTTATGTGAACATTTTGTGTAATATGGAGTCCTGTAGCTCAGTGGTTAGAACAATCGCCTCGCAAGTGAGAGATCTGGGTTTGATTCCTGGCAAGGTGAAACGTTGGGCAAGTATCCTTATTCCACACGACTCTGTTTACCTAGCAGTAAGTTGGAACCTGATTGATTGGTGGATTGGTTTTCTGGGGGTAATAATTCCTTACAAAAATTAATAAATTGGTCACTCAATCTACGACTGTTTGTGGGATACTGCTGTGTGCAATTGGCTGCCGCGTTTCACCCACAAAAAATATATAGTCAATTCAATATATTCTGTGAATTGCTTTGAGACGTCTCGCAGACGTGATAAGGCGCTATATCAAATGCAAATATTAACAGCTTGGCCAACTTGTCCTGCCACGTTCAAAGATATATTCACATTTCTCTGCATTAAATTCCATCTGCCATGTGTCTGCCCATTTCACCAGCTTGTCTATGTCGTCCTGCAGTTTGCTGCTATTCTTCTCACTGTTTACTCCTCAGTTCACGGTAAATAACATGCTTGCATTAGCATTGTGTATTCCTCTCAGGACTTCTTGATCTTGCTTCCTTGCTATCAGTAGAAAATGATTCAGTCCTGTGAGTCTCCTCGTAACTTGGAGCTCTTAGTCCTAGATTCTAGCGCTGCGAGACGTCCCCTACTTAAAGGTCGCTATATAAATAATAAGAATCTTGCATTTGATATAGCGCTTTTCACGTCTTCTAGATGTCTCAAAGCACTTCACAGAATATACAGTAAAATGAATTTACTGTATAATTGTGGGTGAATCACAGCAGCCAATTGTGCACAGCAGTGTCCTACAAACAGTTGTGCTTTGAGTGACCAAATTATTATTATTTTTTGAGGGTTTATTATCCCCAGAAAAGCGATCCGCCAATCGTTTGAGATTGTTGTGAAATTCACCCATGTTATTCTTTTCTGAACCCCTCTTTAGCACATCCAAGCCTTTTAAACCATAATATTCAGTGCTTGTTTTGTGATGAGCTGGGCCAATAGAAAAGTCTGGAATATTTGCTCAAAAATGCGGGGAAATTTGCTTAGGCTTTGTGGAAAATTGTGAGGGGTTGATTGGTGCTATTGAGGTACATTTTACTGCCAACCTTTTTTTTACTTTATTGATAAAAACTAAGCATGACGAAATAACACATATTACATTAATGCAAAAAAAAAGATTTTCTTCTTCAATAAATAATGGGTAGCCCATTGGGGGTGGGGGAGGAGAAGACGCCAGCGTAGGACCGAAGGGCCTGGAGATCCTCCAAAAAAACAGACTCTCAAGACCAGTGTCCTGACTCCGAGTCTTCAGGAGCTCACCATCTCCTGCTTCTCAGTCCGGCCCTGCACACAGACATAGAGACACAAAGAGAGACACAAACATTCAGAGACACAGGGATACACCCATTCTCACAGACACAGAGAGAAACACATTCTCAGAGAGAGAGACACACAAAGATTTTCTTCTTCAATAAAAATGGGTGGCCCATTGGGGGTGGGATGGGGGGAAGCCACCAATGTAGGACCGAAGGGCCTGGAGATCCGCCAAAAAACATTCACACAGAAACATTCATAAACACAAAAATACAGAGGAGAGAGACACAGATGCATCCACACAAAGACACTTACAAATAGACACGGACAGAGGAGAGACACACACCATCACAGAGAGAGAGAGTGACTCTCAGACAATTTCAACAGTGGGGCCTCCGAGTGGAGCAGTTGCGCTGCACTGCGCATGAGTGTCCGGAGCTGCTATGCCCACAGTGATGTCGGGTAAACAATCGGCAGATCCAGAAACTTTCTTTTAGCAGGTTTATAGCGAATATTCTGTTTATAGCGGATTCTGTAGAAAAATTGCAGCCTCACTTTTCTATTGGTCCAGGTGATGAGTTACCAAATAGTTTTGGCTGGCTATGCTGGGTGTTAAAGTTTGTTGATGGAACTGCAGGGACAGGTTACACGAGGACCCTCTTAGCTTGTGGAGATGCCTGTGAATGGAAGATGGAAATGAAACATTTAGGGGTGAAAAATCGAGAACCGTTTAATCAAGAACCAATGGTGTTGCAGAATGGGAATGCGTAGCAGGCCCGAACTTGCCAAGCGGAGACTGTAGAAGATTACAGAGGTATGGAAGTGTAATGAAGGATTTGTAGGTGAGGGAAGCAATATTGAAGCTGATCCCCTGGGAGACGGGGAAACAATATAGCCTTAAAAGGACAATGGTAATGAGCATACAATTTTTAATGTGGGTAAGGATACAGATGTCAGAGGTTTGGATGAGCTGGGAAGGAAAGAGAAGCGGAGTGGTTGACTGTGTCAAAAGCAGCAGCGAAGATGAAAAAGAACATGAAGCCCTGATCACAGAGTGATAGCACACAATTTGTGACTTTGACAAGGGTGGTCTTGGTGCTGTGAGCAGCACTGAAGGGGCTCAGACAGCAACAACAACAAAATTACACTTGTATAACGCCTTTCACATTGAGAGGACGTCCCATGGAGCTGAACAATCAATGTTTCTTACCTGAGCTGGGCGTCAGGATCGGGAGGGTGGAGGATAGCGGGGAAGGAGGGTCTTGAAGGAGGCAAGGGAGGGAGTGAGATGGAGGGACTGCGAGTTTGGGTTCCAGAGGGTGGGAGCAGAGTGGCTGAAGGCCCGCCCACCAATGATGGGGCGGGCGAGACGGGAGACATGAAGCAGGCCGAAGCCCGCTGAACAGAGGAAGTGGGCAGATTGGTAGAGGGTTAGGAGGTCGCAGAGGAGTTGGGGAGGCCAACAAGCAGGGAGTTTGTGCAGTCAAGCCTGGATGTTATGAATGCATGTGTGAGGGTCTCGGCTGCCTGCAGTGTGAGAGTTTTCTGGATACCATCAACGTCACAGCAAAGTGTAAGTGTGAATTTTTTAACTTTATATTGGTGTCAGTCCAGAAGATCATTTCCATTTATTTTACAGGGTAAGGTCTGAAATGGCAGAGGATGTCAGTCAGGATGAGATCAATATGGAGAGAAGCACTGCACTTCTTGGACCAGATGCTGACATAACCGAAGACTCCGAAGCAGAACAACAGGTCTTCCAGGTGAAATTCCAAGAAGATTCATAAACGTTGAACCTTAAATGGCTCAGTCTGTCAGACTCTCACCTGAGTCAGAAGGTTGGGTCGGAACTTTGAACTCATATGGTCCAGGATAGGCTGATATTCCGATATAGTTCTAGGGGAACGCTGCATTGTCAGAGGTGCCATGTTCAGATGGGACATTAAGCTAAGGTTCCATCTGCCTTTCAGGTGGATATTCTAAGATCCTGAGGGCTCAAACCCACACTTGTCGAATGTTGAACGACCAACTAGTGACTATCCTCCTTGGGGGTGGGGTGGGGGAGGTAAGCGGGGTTTCCTTGGAGCTGATCTGATTCTAAGGTGACATGCCTGACAATGGAATGTCAGAATCGAACCACCCCTCCGTGGCGGTCTCAATAGTCTGGTTCCTGAGCCAGGTGGGTCAGCAGTATTCCAGGACACTGCTGATGACAGCACAGTCAGCCTGATTCATTGACAGGACCTGGGGGCAGGGGGTCATCCCACTCAGTTCCTATTAACCCCCCCAAGCTAACTGGTATGGTGCGATATCAACGGCAAGCTATGTGTTTTTAGCTGGTTAGAATCCAGCAGTACCCGAACGTACACTCTGGGGTCCCCCAGCCAAACTACCTCCATCTACTGCCCCTGGAAAAAANTCTTCCCCCACTCCCTCTCCACTGCCTTGGAGTGATCTGAACTGCTTCCCCTCTGGACTTCCTCCTGCACAGACTTATCCTCCTCCGTCACTTTCCTCCACAACCCCTTCTCCACCACTCTCGATGCCTTTGTCCCGCTCACTTCCTGAACCACCTCCTACTCACGCAAGTCACACTGGTACACCAGCTACCTCCACTCCCTCAAGGCACAGGTGTGCCGCTGAATGCACCAGTCCCAAATCTAATTTAACGATCCATCGGCTGATTTGGCTGGACCACATCAAAACTTACCGCTCCGCCTTCACCTCTGATAATCATCCTTCTACTCCAAGATGATCTTGGAGACAAGGACAACCCCAGGCTCCTTTTCTCCACCTCTAACCGATTCCACTTCCCACTCCCTTAGCCTCTCCTTCAACTCCAGCTGTGAGGAAATGCTCGATTTCCAAAGTCGAGGGTATCCACTCAGCCGCCTCTACCCTTCCAACTGCTGCCACCTCCCATCTCCCCCTCACACTCCGGCCCCTACCTACCCCTCCCTCCACACCTTCGAACCTGCCTCCCCCTCCTCTCTCAGCACCATTATAACCCACATGAAACTCAACACCAGCTGCCAGGACCCCATCCCCACCCCTCTCCTTACCTCCCATTCTCCCCCCACCTTTGCCCCTCTGCTCAAAGATCTCATTAACCTCTTCCTGTCCACTGGCACCATTCCTACCCCCTTAAAAACAGTCATCACCCCTATCCTCAAAGAACTTTCCCTGGATCCATCCCTGTTCTCAAATTACTGCCCCATCTCCAACTTTCCTTTCCTTCCAGGTTCCTTGAATGAGTCGTTGCTTCCCAGCATTCTCTCCTGCCACTCCCTATACAAACCCCTCCAATCAGGTTTCCATGTTGCCCACAGCACAGAAACAGCTCTGGTCAAAGTGACAAATAACATTCTGTTCATTTGTGACCAGGGCTGCCTCTGTCTCCTCGTCCTCGACCTAAGAGGCCTTTAACCATTCTATCCTCCTCTACCGCCTCTCCTCTCACCTCAACCTTCATGGTTCTGTCCTTCAGTGGTACAGATCATATCTCTCACACCATCTCCACTTTGTCTCCACAAATGGCCCTCCTCCAGTCCCTGCATAGTCTCATGCGGCGTTCCTCAGGGCTATCCTTCGTCCTCTCTCTTCAACTTGTACATGCTACCTCTTGGTGACATCATCCGCAGACATGGAGTCAAATTCCACATGCGTGCGGATGACACCCAACTCTTATCTCTCTGCCTCCACCCTCGACTCCAGCACCACTGTTGTCCTGACAAAATGTCTGTCGAACATCAAGTCCTAGATGAGAGATAACTTTCTACAGTTAACCGTCAACAAGACCGAGGCTCTCCTGATTGGCTCCAGTCAGAGCCTCCACACCTCAGGCACCAGCAGCATCACCATCCATGGATGCACACTCCACCTCCCTGAGCCAGTCCGGAACGTTGACGTGTTGTTTGACCCTCAACTGTCCTTTCTTCCCCATATCCGTGCCATGACCAGCTCTGCCTTTCCCCACCTCCACAACATCGCCCGGCTCCACCACTGTCTCAACCCTTGGGCCAGCAAAACCCTCATTCATATCTGGGCTCGACTACACTAACTCTCTGATTGTTGGCCTCCCCAATTCTTCCCTTCACAAACTACAGAACTCTGCAGCTCGTGTCCTCTCCGCACCAGGCTTCGTGATCCCATCAGCCTCACCCCCGCCCAGCTCCACTGGCTCCCCATCCCTCAGAGGATAGAGTTCAAAATCCTACTCCTCGCCTTCAAGGCCCTCCACTGCCTTGCTCCTTCCTACCTCAGTGACCTGCTAACCCTTTATCAACCTGTCTGTTCCCTCCACTCAGCAGGCTCCAACCTACTCCATGTCCCGTGTCCATCCCGCCCCACGATCGGCAGTCGGGCCTTCAGCCTCTGCTCCCACCCTTTGGAACTCCAATCCACATTCCCTTCGCCTCACTCCCTCACTTACCTCCTTCAAGGCACATCTCAAGACTCTCCTTTTCAACCACGCCTTCGGCCACCCTCCTCTCCTCCTTGGCCTCCACCTTCCCTCATCTCAAACTCCCCTCCCCCCGCTCGGGTCCAAATCCCTGACTGTCCCGCGCCTTGGGACGTCCTCCCAACGTGAAAGGAACTATGCAAATGTAATTTTGTAATTTTTGTATCTGCAGTAATGGCGAAAAGACTACTTTGTTGAAAATTGTCCACAGGTCAGCGCTGAGTATGGCTGAACGATCTGTTTCTGCTGCCACCTGAACTCAAAAAGATTAATGAACCCGTTTTTCATGTTTTCTTTTACTTCAAAGCAATTAACCTGGATTGATGATGGGGATACAGCGTTCGGAAGGAACGATCCTATCACTGTCATTCCTATCACAGTGCACATTACAGATGACCCTCCTGCTTCCCAGAATGCTACTGTGCAGCTGTCCCAACAAACACCAACTCTACCAAATGAACAATTTCAGCTGATGGATCAGAATGGGCAGCCTCTCCAATATGAACTTCAGTCTTTGGGGGAACCAAGTGCACGGATGGTTGGTAACATACAACTAACTCTATATGAAAACTCCTTTAAAATGTACTTAAAAGCCTGATGCACTGTGCAGGGATCCAAGGAACATTACAAAAACTTGACAAGACTATATTGTACGTATTCTAGTGGCATAATATCGTCCTTCAGTTAGGAATGTGTAGAGTTTATAGCATCAAGGTATATGAGAAAAAAAAGTGCAAATTGGAATTGGAAACACTTCGCTGTTTGGAGCTGGACTTTAGGTTTTCCAAATTCATATGACAAACCAATACTCAATTTTAAGATTTTCTATCCATTCTTAAAGTAGAGTCTGATGGAGTTCTGTAATGTATTGATTAGAGCACTCGCCTCGCAAGCAAGAGGACCTGGGATCGACTCCCAGGCAGGGCGAAATGTTAGGCACGTTTCATTACTCCACTCCATACCCCTCTGTTTACCGAGCAGAAAGTTGGAACCTGGTTGTCAGTTAATTGTCAAAGGGGAGGGGAAATTGCAACAAAATAGGCAGACCAGAGAAAATTTTGTTGCAATTTCCCTCCCCCCTGTTTTGCATCATTAACACCTCTTTAACCCATTATCCCCTGTCCTCAACCCCATTTTCGCCTTTGTCATCCTTTCCCTGCCTCCCCCCTCTCTGTTCGTCCCTAAAAGCCTTTCCCTCCCAACATGCCCCAGTTCTGATGAAGAGTTGAAACTTGACTCACTTTTCTTTCTCCATAGATGCTGCCTGACCTGCTGAGTGTTCCCAACAATTTCTGTTTTGTTTATTATTATTATAATCTGCCTCAGTCAAACTCAGTTTTGTGATGCATGTAGCTCTGGGCACCAGAAAGCTTTAGCATTACCATATGTAAGCTGTGTTGGGGGCCCAACAGAAACACCTCAGCGAAATAGCATTTTTTGTTGAAAGAGGCCAATTTCTTCCCTCCCATTACCTTTACCCATTACATTCTTACCATTATCTGACTCACATGGAGGGGCTTTGAGGTCCTTTCACCTCAAAATACACATGTATTACTAGTGTCGTTCACTCAAATCTTTCAGGCTGTTTCTTCTTCGTTGGGTTTCATTGCTGCCTTCCGCTCAGTGGGCTCCAGCCTGCTCCATGTCCCCTGTCCGCCCCACCATCAGCGGTCGGGCCTTCAACCTTTCTGCCGCCACCTTTAGGAACTCAATCCCACAGTCTCTTAGGCTCACCCCTTTCAATCCTCTTCAGTGGGTGAAAGCAAATCCTGTTTGGATTTCCTTCAAATGTCTCCATTTCCAGAAAGAAATCTACCGGTAAAAATCAGATCACTACTTTAAAGCAAAGTAGTTCCCCCACAAAAAATATACATGGTAACACCACTTTACAGTGTAATCTCAAAGTGCTTTGAGACTGCCGTGATGTGACTTAAGCGCTATATCAAATGCAAGCATTATTAAATTTGATTGCTTCGCACTTTTAAAGACTTGTTCCATTCCCTGACCCAAGAGAATATATGACCTGCTCTAATATCTCTGGCAGTTCGTCTCTTAATCTGGCCATTTGGAGATGCCTGAGAGCAGATTTGCGCAGCTCACTCTGGATTATTTCTCTTTTCCTCTCTCTTTCTGGGTGATGGAATGTCCCTGCTTTGCAATGGCTCAGTGGGCTAGTGCACTTTGTTCTTTGGAAGTTGAAAGCAATGCCAAACAGTGTTGATGGTTATTTCTAGATGATTGTAACCAGCCAGTCGGACAGCGGCCAGCTGCTTCATGTGATTCCTTCCAACCAACCAGGGGTGGCTCAGGTGCTGATTCCACAAGGGCAGCTTCTTGATGTCGCAGGCTCACAGGGTAAGGACAGTTATTGTGGATAGCTCTTGTGTTAACTGATGCATCTTATGGATGGTTGAATGAATTGTGACAATGGATAAAGTAATCAGGATTAACTTACAATACGTTAGAAGCTGGTTAAAGCCGAAAAGCAATGTAGAAAGTATGAAATTCCTGTGTATAATTTGTATTCTTGTGGCAGCTTCTTAAATTAAACCTCTTGAGGCCCGTGTTTTCCACAGATAACAATCTTATGTTGAGAAGAGAGCTGAAACCTTTTTTATGGGATATATAATACATAGGTAGTTTGGGTAATATGTGCATGCGTGTGCCAGGAAGATGGACCTTGGTCTTTTTTCGTTTAGCATTTCTTATGTTCTTATGTTAAACCTCATTGCTCTACTTTCTGCTTATCTATTCCTACATATCCATGAGTATACACTCGCAGTTGAAAATTCCTCAGTGTGATGATTCCAAACCAGACCATGGAGTATAATTGTGGTTCAACATTTGTAGATGAATAAAACTGGGGTCTTGTAAATCATAAGGCTTGGATGTAACACTACAGATTGCTGAGGGCTATCCCATCTGCAAGCTGGAGTAATCTAGTTATTTGTCCTGTCTTGTGCCGTCCTTTGGATGAGATGTTAAATCAAGGTCCAGTCTGCCTGTCCAGGTGAACATTAAGATCTCACAACACTATTCAAAAAGACCAGGGCGTTTCTGGCCAACAGTCCACCAAGTATAATAATAATTGTTGCATTTGATATAGTGCCTTATCACGTCATTTTGACATCTCAAAGCACTTCACAGAATATATTGTAAAGTGGATTGACTGTATTTTGTTAGTGAAATATGGAAGCCAGCAATGTCCCACAAACAGTCGTGGATTGAATGACCAATTTTTTAGGGGGAGAGGAGGGATACTGACACTATAGGTACCAAGACCAGCCGAGAAATACACAATGTGAATTTTCCCACTTGATTGCTTTCCTTATAGCGATCCGCCAATCGACTAACAAATGGGATCTTACTTACTGCTAGGTAAACAGGCATTTGGAGTAAGGAGACTTGCCTAAGGTTTCAGAAATTAGGTAGATTTCTTTTAGAAAATAATATCTTGGGATACAATATATAGTTTGGGACATGACATGTCAAGCGACTGCCAGGATGGTGGAAGGTGAATTAGATGGACCTTGGTCTTTTGCCTAGCAAATTCTTATATTCTTAATTTGCTTTAAGATCAGAGGTTGTTAAGGCAGTATTTGGATTGCTCACTAAGACTTTCTGACCAGGCTCTGAAATTTTGAAGGCATCTCTATAACTTTAACATATTACAAGAAGAGTTGCATTGGTTCTCAGATGATGCTGAAGACAAACAGATCAGCGATGAGCTTCAGACAGTAACTGTTGGTGCCATTGCAGAGAACGCCGGCTATGTTTTACATCCTCAGTCTTCATTACTGCTGTACAGGAAGACCTCACTCAGGTATGTAAAGATACATGCTTGTGTTCAATGAAGGATATTTTTGGAGTTTGAGTACATGAAGGCTTCCATACATTTTTTGGTCCTGATTTGAAACAGGTTATATACCACTTGCATATGCAAAAGCATACATTGAGTGTTTTATTATTAAGGAATGTGGATATAAAGTGTAGCTCTTCGAGAAGGAATGTAAGTGGACCAAAATGATTATGACTGAACATAAGGTTGAAAACGGCTAAAATCAAGCTTAGATATTTCAGAAGAAAGGAGACCAAGACTATTGGGAATTGTATTGAAGTCACTTGAGGATAACTAGTATTAGAAGAGGAAAGAGAGCAACAGAAAAGCATATTGCAGATATCACCAAGAGAAATTCTTGCTTAACTATGCACATTGTATTTCATCATCCATTCCAAAAGGCATAGTTTAAGAATGTGGAGTACAAATAACTAGGTGACTCCAGCAAACAGATGGGGTGGCCGTGCAGCAATCTGTACTGTTACGTCCCAGCCTTGTGATTTACAATGCTGCTGTAAAATGAGATCCTGTTGCTGAAGCATTTCAGTAATTCCTCCCTTAAACCCTGTTAGTTTGTCAGCCTGGCTCCGTTGGTAGCACACTCGCCTCTGAGCCAGTACGTTATGGGTTCAAGTCTCACATAGGGGCTTGAATTCATGGTCCAATGCAGTTCTGCGGGTGTGTTGGATGAGACATTAAATGGAGGTCCCAACTGCCTGTTCAGGTGGACGTTAAAGATCCCATAGCATTATTCAAAAAGAGTGTGTCCCTGTGTCCTGGCCAATAATCCTCCAAATAAAATTGGTCACTCACTGCATAGCTGTTTTGGGGACATTACTGTAGATAAACTGGCTGCCGTGCTTCGCCCACAAAATCCACAGTCCACGTTAAAAATCCCTTGGCACTATTCGAAAGAGAAGCGAGTTTTGCCTAGGGTCTTGGCTAACAATCCCCCAAATAAATAATAATAATTGTCACGGGGGACATTGCTTTGTGCAATTGGGCTGCTGTGTTCAAATACACAGTCACTGCATGTTACACTAAATCCTGTGAAGTGCATTGAGATATACTCCTGACATGAAAGGTGCTGTACCAAATGCAAGGATTATTATTATTAGCATGACACTATTCAGCACAGAGCACATCTAGTATGCACAGAGTATGTTGCATAGAATTCTAAATTGTTTACCTGGATCATCCCAAACCTGATGCTTAGTGTCTTATGAGAGATATATGTATGTATTATGAGCAGTTTAAAAATATTCTTGCTAGAGCATCTTACAATAATATTGCTAGGAAAGATCAGAGTTCTTAGAATACTACAGAGATCAAGAAATGTTCTGATGAATTAATTATTCACAGTGTTCACAAAGGAAGATTTCGGATAAATTCCAGTTGATGTTTGCTGAAGAATCAAATGTGTAAGGCATTGGGTATGGAGATACAATCAATTAATTGCCTGCATGACAGCTGGTGTAGACTTGAGAATTTTTGTAGATGTACATGCCGCTTCACTACTTCAGCGTTTGCAGGTCCTGTACCTGAACATATCCTCATTCTCTGAACCAGAGTGAGACATGACCCCAGGAATTGTAGACTTATTAATCTGATAGCTGTCAATGCTCCTTTTAAAAAAAAACTCAGAGACTTAAAGAGGTTACTTAATTCAGTTTGTTGCTTTACTTACACTGTTTTCTGTGGTTACTTTGCTATTCACAGCAAGCACGTAGAGAGTGGTTCTTAACATTTTCACACACTTTACTCTTGTTTGTTTCAGAATGGTTGAAGATAATTTTCCGGTCCCATTACAGTCTTTGCCACAGAACACCCCTGTTTGGGCTCGGCGAATCCGGAGCTGCGAGGTTCATGAACTACTTGCCTTAATTTCTGGCTTTTGCACATGTTGAGTCTCATTTCATTCAATTGAATTTGCGGTGAATCTTATCTGGGATTTCTACTCCTGGGAACCCAAGCTTGCTTCACTACATCAATGAGTCTGTTTCTAAAACTCATCTTAGTTTTATGTGGAGTCCTGTAGCTCAGTGGTTAGAGCACTCGCTTTGCAAGTGAGAGACCTGAGTTCAATTCCAGGCAGGGCGAAACCTTGGGCAAGTTTCCTTACTCCACACGCCTAATAATAATCCCTTCAAAAACCAAAAACAATAATTAATTGGTCATTTTCAATCTACGACTGTTTGTGGGACATTGCTGTGCGCAATTGGCTGCCGCGTTCGCCCACAAATATACAGTCAATTCACTTTGCAGTATGTTCTGTGAAGCGCTTTGGGACGTCCTCCCGACGTGAAAAGCGCTATATCAAATGCAAGGATTATTATTATGTCAGAGAAACATTGATTTTCTTAATCAATAGTTTTACAGTTTTGAACAAAAGGGAAAGTAGAGTACAGGTATAAGCATAGGTATGCATAAAGTATGTACAGTAAAACTCACATAGGTCGTATTATTCAGGATCATAACATTAATATGACTTACGCAAAGTCCAAGTTGCATGCAAACTGTATAAGTTATGGAAAATCCGATTTAATCAACAAATTACACTGTGCATGCGTAATTTAGCGCAGCCGGTAATTTCCCATGCGGTAACAGGTCAAGACTATATTTCCCGCAATTCAATTACATCTTGATCCGTCGCTGCTTGCACACTTACCAGCAAGCATTGGAATTGCTTTGAATTTGGGGAAATTAAGTTTTTCAGCATATGCGTTGACGGATCATGTTTTCCTGGGATTCAATGCAGTCGGTAAGTGCGCATGCATCTACAGGTTAGGAAGTAATTTCCTCCAATTCAAGGCAGTTGATAATTGTGGGAGTAATAGAGGGTCGGGAGCAGTGTTACAAGTTAGGAAGTGATTAATACGATTAGTGCAAAGAAAGTGGTTTTGATAGGAAACTGAATGGGACTCAGGTGAATGTACAACTTAGCGATATACAATTTGTAAAGATAAGACTTGCGTGAGTTCTACTGTATAAATGATGGAATCCCTTTCCTGTGGAGTCCGTAGCATAGTGGTTACAGTGCACTCGCCTTGCTAGCGGGAGGACCTGGGTTTGATTCCTGGGCGGGGTCGGTCAAACCTTAGGCAATTTTCCTTATTCCACATGCCTCTGTTTACTGAGCAGTAAGTAGGAACCCTTAGTGTCGATTGGTGGATCACTTTCCAGGAATCATAATCCCTCCCTCCCAAAATTTTGGTCACTTAATCCACAACTATTTGGGACACTGCTGTGCGCAATTTGCTACTGCATTTCTCCCACAAAGTGCAGTTTGCAATATATTCTGTGAAACACATTGAGACCTTTCAATGTCATGATGGGGTGCTATATCAAATGCAAGGATTATTAACGTTAGTTAATATTAATAAATACATTTGGTTGGGAAAATAGCAACTTCTGCTTATGTAAGTCCTTTCAGGTCTCAAAGAGATAGAGTAAGAGCCTGAGCAGGATGGGAGGTGGAAAGGTAAGAGAGAGATAACCAAAGGCAGTGATAGATGTAGGCTTTTTGAAGAGTTTTGAAAGCGGAGGAGGAGTATGGAAGTCAAAGCAATGTCTGCCTCCTCAAGTGGATCCCATGGCACTATTCAAAACAAGAAGGGAGTTTCTCCCGGTGGGTTGGCCAACATTTCCTCCAAATTAAATTAGCCATTCAATTACTGGTTGGTTGTTGTACATTGCTGGGTTTGCCCCAGCATTGCATTGGAGTGACAGCCTAGACTGTGAAGTCAAAAGTGCCCAGCATGTGGCTTGAACCCACTCCCTTCTGACTCAGAAGCAATAGGAGTAAGAATCATCAAGAAAGAAACGATTATTAATTATACGTGATATTTCCTCCTTTCCTGGTTCATCAAGTAGTGTTCCATGTTCATTGTTCCAGAAAATTGGAGACTCTTACCGTGGATTCTGCGAGAGTGAAGCGGAACTGGAAAGCGTACTGACCTGGCACAAGCAGGAGACCCAAAGTGTGTGGGGGACGCGCCAGTCTCCGAGCCCTGCCAAACCTGCCACCAGGCTGATGTGGAAGTCCCAGTACGTTCCATATGACGGCATTCCATTTGTCAATGCAGGTGAGAAAAATGTAGGCAAGAATAAACTTTTTGTGAGTTAAGAACTTAGAATTATAAGAATAATAATACTTGCATTTGATAAATCTTTGTAAATCTTTACATAGCGGCATTTGGATTTTACTGTGAAGTGTAGTGATTGTGTAACTGAATGTGACTGTGTAACTGAATGCAGAATTCAATTTGTGCACAGTACTGTCCCACAAACACCCCTGAAGTAAATAACCAATTTACTCAGAGAGATCTGTGGCCAGAAACTCCATCTCTTTTGAATAGTGCCATGGGATCTTTAGTGTCCACCTGAACAGGCACAGTCAAGGCCTCAGTTTAACATCTCATCTGACGGACAGCATCTCCAACAATGCTGCGAATCCCCAGCACTGTATTATAGTGTCATTTGAACCCTCAAACTTCTGACTCGAAAACGAGAGTGCTACCAACTGAGCCAGGCAGCCATCTTATGCTATTTGGATACAGGAGAGGGAATCCTTGCAGTTCCATTCTCGTCCACAAGGAGTTCCACTGCTGGCATTGGAACCAGTCTTTGCAACTGTGCTGCAGGTTTCAACTGGTGTGATTGTATGATCTATGGCCTTGATCTTTGTGTGGTTCTGCATTTTATTCCAGGAAGTAGAGCGATAGTGATGGAATGCCAATTTGGACCAAGGCGTAAAGGTGTCCAGAGTAAGAAAACTGTGGAACAGGAAAGCAACTCTAATCACAATTACAAAGCTACATGTGCTGCACGGTGAGAAGCTTGCAAATTTGCACCAATTTTATAACTGAATCTGCTGTGGGCTCGTGCCAAGAATTTCAGTATTAGCACACAGACTGAAGGGCTAGTTGGGAGGATTTTGATATATGTGGCTTGTAAACCATTCATGGAGTCCTGTAGCATAGTGGTTAGCGCACTCATCTCGCAAGCGAGGGGAACTGGGTTTGAATACCCAGACAGGGCGAAATGTAAGGCAAGTTTTCTCATTCCACATGCCTCTGTTTACCTAGCAGTAAGTAGAAACCTGTTAGTCATTTGGCGGATCATTTTCCGACGGTAATAATCCTTCCAAAAAAATGTGGTCACTCAATCCACAACTGTTTGTGGGACACTGCTGTATGCAATTTACTACCCTATTTTCCCCACAAAATACATATTCCATTCACTTTAGATTATATTCTGTGAAGCGTTTTGCATTGTCTCAATAACATGATAAGGCGCTAGGTCACATGCAAGGATCTGTAATCTGATGAGTTGAATCCACACTGGATAATCTAACTGAACCCTTTCTGTCCAAGTCGAGCATGCTACCAACTGAGTCAAGTTAATAACTGTTATTGTTATGTTGCCTGTTAAAGTAGAGTGTAGCCAAGGTCCTGTGACATGAGTGTTTGGAAACCATCTATGTGTTTATTCATCTACAGAATCTACATTAAAAAAGTGCGGAAATTCCCAGAATACAGGGTTCCCACAGACCCCAAGATTGATAAGAAAGTAATACGACAAGAGCAGGAGAAGGCCTTCAATATGCTAAAAAAGAACGGATTTGATGCAGGTGGAGTTGTCAGGTAAGGGGCTTTACACATACAGAAGATAAACTTGGGTACGGTTCACTATAGGATTAGTGAGGTCATTGGGAGTGATGGGTTGGTTCCCATGCAACTGAATGATTTCCTTTTTGTTAAATTCTTAGCGGAAAATTCCTTTGTGTGGGATTCCTGTTTTCCCCTTCCGGTGTCCATCATGTGACTCCGTGATGTGTTTTCAGAGCGAATCCCGACATGCAAGATGTGCTCCTGCTAACCTTATTAATGAATCAACATATGCTCAATACTGATGTTGCAGCCAACTGTCCTTAATCTGACATAGCAATGCAGAAAGTTAACACCTACCCCTCAGGAATAATACAAATTTGACAAGACGCACTGCTAACATACTAGAGAAGAACCTCATTATATGGTCTTCTGAGTCCAACAGCTCAAAGGTGGAGCACTAATAAAATGGACGGTTTCTGGGTCCTAATGTTGGTGCTGACATCACTTCCTGCGTACTGTGTAAAAAGAGCCACTGATGTCACTTCCTTCCCAAGGTGATGTCAGTAGCTTCTGATTTAGCGTAGGAAGCCGTCTAGTCAGCCGGACACATGACCCATCACCATGCTCAACTGTATCCAAACCAAATTGAGAGTTCCATGCATCACACCTAAAGATGGAAATTACTGTGATTTTAGTCCTCAATGTGTTTTTGAGTATATTGTAGCAGGCACAGGGATGTCTGGGAAGAAGCAGTCAATGCCAGCTATCATTAGAGAACAAACAGTCAACTTTATTGAAGAAAAATGTATTAAACAAACCTAACCACCTGTAGAGGCAACCTACTGTCAGGGACATCAGCTTCACCCATTCCTTTCCACACTTAGCTTTCCCAATTATATTTATCTGGAATCCTCTCTAGGACTGTCCCATCATCTTGCCTTTTGTCAGGCGCCTGGATGTTCCTATTGTGGGTGAGAGTTTATCCACGCTACTTGAGGGTGCTGGAGCCTTGCTCCACTATTCGAAGGTTTCAGCTGGAAGCTCTGAGCTTGGCAGCAAGTGGCATTTCACCACCAACCTTGCATACCACCACATGGACTTGGGATCCAATATCACACTCCTTATGACAGGAACGGCCAACCACTAACCTACTGCCCCACCACCCATGGTATGAGCTTTAAGCACTACTCAACCCCATGCATTCAGCTGCAGTACAACACTAATTGTTGCAGTTTGAGAAGACACAAATTCTCCATTTCAAATTCTGTATCTCTTTCAGTCTTCAGGCGAGCTGGTGCAGAGCTCCTGGTATTGGGAATTTTCCCTGATCGCTATTGTTGACTTTGTCCCTGTTGCTACAGATGGTACGTGCAGTTACCCACGCCGCAGGCACACCAATACCATGATCAGGAGGGCGTCTACCTACAACCGCCACCTCCACCATCCCCGCCACCATTTGTTGCAGTGGAAGAAGAAGACATTGGGGCTGTGGATGAAAATGACACCTTGTCCTCTCGCCTGCACCCACGGGTGTCTGAGAAGATTCGTGAACTGGTCGCTCAGGGGCTGGACCAGGTTTACACAGTCCGGAAACAGCTAAGGTATATTCTCCGCAGCTCATAAATAAATTGCAAACCAGGTAGATCAAGTCAATTGCAAGGCCATCGTAGAAATAATGTGACATTCCTTTTTGGTTTGAAAGTCCTGGATGAGAGCTAAGTTTCTCCAACTGAACATCAACAAGTCCGAGGCCCTCCTGCTTGTCTCCCGTCAGTGCCTCCACACTTCAGGCGCAGACAGCTTCACCATTCATGGATGCACTCTACACCTCTTTGAATCAGTACTGAACCTCTGACTTGTTAGACCCTCAACTGTGCTTTCTACACCACATCTGTGCCATGACCCATTCTGCCTTTCCCCACCTCCACAACATTGCCCAGCTCTGCCATTGCCTTTCCCCTAAGGCTGCCGAGACCCTCATCCATCAATCTAGGCTTGACTATGCTAACTTTCTGCTTGTTGGTCTTCCCAACTCTTCCCTCCACAAGCTGCAGAGTATTCAAAACTCTGCAGCTCGTGTCCTCTCCCACGCCAAGCTCTGTGAGCCCATCACTTCCAGCTCCACTGACTCCCCATCCCCCAGAGGATTGAGTTCAAAATCCTCATTCTTGCATTCAAAGCCCTCCATAGCCTTGCTCCTCCCTAATTCTGAGACAAGCCTTACCAGCCTGTGCGCTACCTCTTCTCAGCGGACTCTGGTCTGCTTCACGTCCCCTGACCACCCCACCATCGGCAGTCAGGCCTTCAGCCTCTCTGGCCCACCCTTTGGAACTCCATCCCACAGTACCTTCGCCTCGCTCCCTCCGCTGCCTCCTTCAAGGCCTGTATCAAGATTCCCATCTTCGCCTGCGCATTCAGTCACCTCCTACCTCCACCCTCCCTGCCCTCCATCCCTCCTGATCCCATCCCTCAGCTCAGCTGCACATCCTTGATTGTCCAGCGCTTTGGGTTGTCTACCTGACGTGAAAGGCGCTATAAAAATGTAATTTGTTGTTTGTATTGTTGGTTTGGATGCCTGTAATAAATGTGTTTAGGTCAATGTAGTGATCTAAGGTGATCTGTGTGAAAAGAATCCTGTTGATAATAATCTTTTAGTGAAGGGACCTTGAGCTAAATGATGAGTTGTTAAACCTTGCAACCGACAGTACTGCAATTATTATTGGCACAATGTTAAAGGTTAAAGCTAACTATTAATACTGCTGTGAATATTTTATTTTTCCAATTACTTTCACCAACCTTTTCCCCTCATTAAATTCAGGTAAAAATATTTTTTTCCCAATTGCCTTTCACCAAAAAAAATGGGTATTTATCGGTGAAAATTGCTTAAAAATTTAACAGTTCTTACCTGCAATGGATATGCTTGTTTGTCGTTTTTTGTTTAGAAAATTTGTGGAACGGGAACTATTTAAACCCGACGATGTTCCTGAGCGACACAATCTCTCCTACTTCCCAACGGTCAATGACATCAAGAACCACATCCACGAGGCACAGCGAGCCTTGCAGAGAGACAAGCTGGAATACATGCCTGGATCCATGACTGCAGCGGTAAGATCTGGTGTACAAGTAATATCAGATGAGGGATTGGAATTCTCGTCATTTTCCAAGATTCTATGCACTTAACCTCTGAGTAATAATCCTTGCATTTGGTGTAGCGACTTGTCACGTCGAAAGACGTCTCAAACCGCTTCTCAGGATTTACTGTGAAATGGAGTGTAGGCAAATGCAACAGCACAATTGTAAACAACAATGTCCCACAAACAGCTGCAAAACAAATGACCAATTGTATTTGTGGGATTGTTGATCAGGATACAGGGAGAAATTCCCATCTCTTTTTGAATAGTGCCATGAGATTTTTAACATGCACCCGAACAGGCAGACAGCACCTCGGTTTAACACCTTATCTGAAGGGCTGCATCTCCGACAATGCAACGCACACCCAGCACTGCATTGGAGAGTCATCTTAGGTTATGTGAGTTGAAATCCCAACTTGGGATTCAAAGCCACAACCTTCTGAGTAGAGACGATTTACAAACTACACACGGGTTGAGACTCGTTAAAATAAGATGAGTATGAAACTGCTTCAGGTGAGAATTATTAGTTGATGTGATTTATTGCTGTCTTGCATTGTTTTTTGCAGTACTGATCAGTGTGATTCTGTCCTCCCAGTTGCAGTGGACAGCCTCCAATGGAAGTTTACATACTGAGACAGTCACGGTCACACTTGCCGCTGCACATGATGATGGTGCGTACAGAGCATGTTAGTGCAAACCTTAGACAGCATTCTGCTCTCAAAACCATACATACATATCAACAATAACAACAACTTACATTTATATCGCGCCCTCCATGCAGGGCAGTTTCTCAGAGCGCTTAACAGTGATGGACCCTGACTCTGAGCCAAGTGGAGGGGGGAAGTGGCCGTAAGTACGGTCAAAGAGGAAAGCTTTCAGGCGGGACTTGAGGGGGAAAGGTGGAGGGATTGAGAGAGAGTGTTCCGAAGGTAGGGCGGAGGGTGCCAGGGACAAGCAAGAGGCCGGTGCCAGTCGAGCGGAAGTGCCAGCTGGTGGATTGGGGAGTGAGGAGGTTGGAGAGTTAGGGAGGTGCCAGGAGTGAATGGATTTGAACACGTGTGAGGATCTTGAAGTTGATCCGTTCAGTGATGGGGAGCCAGTGAAGCCTGGCCAGAACTGGTAAGATGTGGGTACAGAGTTTGATGTGGGTCAGTATGCAGCTTTCGGCTGCATTTGGGGTAAGGTACAGTCGGAGGCGGGCAATGTGGCGGAGTTAGAAGAAAGGAGTCCTGGTCAGGGACCGGATGTGGGAGAGGAAGGACAGCTGGGGGTTGAACCAGACGCGTAGGTTGCGCACTGGTTCGGTGAGTCTGAGGGAGAGTCTAGGGAGGTTGAGGAATTTAGATCTGCAGGAGTGAAGACTTTTGACGGGAGCCAAGGAGTATGGCTTCCGTCGTGTTCGTATTCAGCTGGAGGAAGTTTACACTCATCCAGGCCTTGATGTCTGCCAGACAAGCTGATAGAACATTGGCGGACCTGGAGTTGGTATTGGAGGAGGAAAAGTAGATTTGTGTGTCATCCACATACATGTGGAAGTTTACCCCGTGTCTGCGGATGACATCGCACAGAGGGAGCATCTAGATAAGGAAAAGAAGAGTGCCAATGATGGAGCCCTGGGGTACCCCGAAGGTGACCGGGCAGGGGCGGAAGGAGAAACCATTTGTTGAGATTAAATGGAGACGGTTGGTTAAGTAGGACTCGAACCATGCGAATGTGGTCCCACTAAGGTAGGTGAAGGAGGAGAGCCGGTGGAGGAGGATGGCGTGGTCAACTATTGAATGCGGCAGGAGGATGAGGAGGCAGAGGGAGCCCTGGTCACAAATAGAGAGAATGTCATTTGTGACTTTGACAAGTGCTGTCTCTGGGCAAAATCCAGACTGCAGGGGCTCGAGGAGGAAGTGGAGGGAAAGGGTGACCGAAGTTGACCTGCAACCATGCATTCCAGGACTTTGGCAAGGAAGGGTAGGTTGGAGATGGGATGGCAGTTTAAGAGATTAGTGGGATCGAGGGTGGATTTTTTGAGGAGGGGTGTGATGACAATGGTATTCAGGGGGAGTGGAACACAGCCTGAAGAGAGAGACTGGTTGACCATGTCGGCCAGCAAAGGGGAGAGAAGGGAAAGTTGAGTGACAAGCAGTTGGGTGGATTGGGAGTCAAGGCAGCAGGTGGTGAACTTCATCCGGGTGATTGTGGTTGAGAGGGAGGAGGGAGAAATGGGGGCAAAAGAGTGTAAGGATGGGGGAGTGGGAGGGGCTGTGGCGGAGGGAGAAGGTGGTGTGGATGGTCTGGGTGGGGTGGACGGGGACATGCTGGGGAGGACGATGCAGCAAAGCGGATGTTTCATTTTTGATGCAAAGAAGTCTAGGATTTCTTTGCACTTGGCGTTTGACATAAGGATAGAGGGGGCTTGAGGGGGTGCACGGAGGAGGTGATGGACTGTGGAAAACAGCGTCTTTGGATTATTGTTTGCCTCCAGGATCACTTTGTAGTAAAGGTCAGTTTTGGCCCATGAAAAGGAGAGGTGGTATGTGTGGAGGTGTTCAAGCCACAGCTGGTGATGAAGCGTGAGGCCAGATTTCTGCATCTGCACTCAAGCATCCGGGTTTGTGTTTTGAGTGAGTGGAGATGACTGTTGTACCAGGGGGAGCTGGTCGGTTTGGAAACAACCCTGGATTTCAGGGGAGTCGGAATTGAAGGTTTTGGAGATTCAGCAGCTTGACGGCTAAATCAGGATTGCTGCAGATGGAGGACCAGAGGGAGAGGAGGTCCGAGGAAGAGAGGACATTTGTGAGGGACTCAGGGGGAAGCTTTTTCCAGGGGCGGAAAAATTGGTGGAGGGCTTGAAAGAGGGGAGGGGGATGTGGGAGGAGAGGAAGATGAGGAAGTGGTCCGAGATGACCTTGTCCATGATAGACAAGTCGGAAATATCATGACGAGTGTGTGATGACGAGGTCGAGGATGATGACAATATGATGACAATGACAACTGGTCACGACGAGTCGATGTGAGGAGGGCAGTGAAATCCGAGGAGGTGGTGCAAGGGAAGTTTAGGTGGAGGTTGAAATCACCCATTATGACCAGGTGTTCATTGCAGAGGGACAGGGATGAGAGGAGATATCAGTGAGGAACAAGCCAGGAGGTTTGGCGGGTTTTTAAGGGAGAGAGAGGAGGGATGGTAGAGGGTGAGGTGCTCATAGGAGGAGAAACAGCCCAAGGAATAGGAGGATAGACCAAGGGAAGCTTGGGAGATGAGGGCCACCCTGCTGCCACGTTGGTTGGGGTGGGGCATATGGTGAAAAGTGTAATCTGGAGGGGAGGCTTCGACAAGGGGGACAGGATCACTGGGGGAGAGCCAGGTTTCTGTAAGCCTAAGAATATCAATGTGCTCATCCAGGATGAGGTCATGGATAGTATGGGCCTTGTTGAAGAGGGAGCAAACATTTTGGAGGGAAATATGGATAGTTTAGCTGGTGGGGGGCGGTGATGGGGAGAGTGGTATAGAGAGGATTTGTTGTGGGGAAGAAGTGGCCATGGAGTTTGAGGAGCAGGGAGAGTAAGAGAGGATATGGATGAAGGAGGGGGAAGGGGTGTTTGCCTTTCGGAGGCAGTTGCTGCGGAGAGAGTGAGCGATGGGACACTTAGGATGGCTGCTCTGGGACAAACAGCGCGGTGCGGGGGGGGAGATGGGGGATGGCGGTCATGGCTTAGGTGTCAGAGACCGGGAGGGAAGGGAGTACAAGGTAGCAGAAGGATAGTAAAATATACACTATACTTACCCTACCCTGTTTGAAAAAGGCAATCATCTCTGCAAAACTAAAACTTAAAGACTGCACTACACTGCCAATTGCCCATCCTTTGTTTAAGAACACTGAGGAAAAGAGAAAGACTTTTGAACCTGACAAGCTCGTTTTACAAGCTCAGATATTTTGTTCCACTGTTCTCAGCATTTTACCTGTTTGCTGTTAACCATGGCACGAGGGGAGGGAGCAGGGGTCTGTAGATTTGGCTGCTTAGTGCTACCATCTTGGCTTCAAAGTGCTGAGCTTTATAATGGAGGAAACTTTTAACGGTAAATTGTTGCCCTGTTTCACACCTGAGTATTGTTCCACAGAGAATGTTACATCCAATTCGATCATGACTAAGGGGGAGCTGGCCCAGGTGGGAAATGCAATTTCTCCAGAGGCAGCTCAGCTTCCGTCTTCGTTGTCCTCTCTGCAACCAAAGCTGTTTGCACAGTTACAGGTCAGTTGAACGTGCAGGTCCACTGAAGGGAACCAAGATCTCAGCCTTTCTTGAATGTGTTGATTTATATTCTCCTAACCACGTCTTTCTTCCCCTCAAAAAAATTATTTCAGCTTTTCTGTTTTCTTCCAAGCTCATTATTAAATTGGCCCTGTGTAAGTGATTATGTGAAAGAGCAATTGTTGCAGTGTGTATTGAGAATTTGTGTGTAGATTGTACATATTGTCTGTCCATATACTGCAGCTTGATACCATGGGAAGTACCCCTGCATACCTTATTGGTAGTTCAGTACCATTGATCAACAATAAAACAGTTACTGTGTCTATCAGGGAAACATTCAGTGCTGCTAAGGTACCCATAAGATATGGGATTCTGTAACTTTGAAGAGCTTTGGAAGAAATTCTACCTTGGTCTAGTTTTACTCTTATTTATGCAATGTAATCTTGGCTGACATCAGCTTGACTCAGCACACAGCAGAAATCTAACCAAAAATGTTCCTGATTTATGTGGCTCAGCTACTGGTGGAAATAACTCACAGAGCCATTTGAGGAACCTAGACGCAAGTTTATATGCCATCCGCTTGATGTTAGCTTGGATTACAGCCCAATTTCATCAGAGACGCTGTGGTTTTAATGGAACTTAGCCCCAGGTTGTTTTGATGGAACAGAGTCTGTCCCCTCTGTATTTGGAGGCCGCTTTGTAAATGCATTGAATTTTTTTCCAACTTTGGGGGAGATTCTGCGTACGGTAATACCAGATACAGTAGAATCTGCATCATGTTTTTTGCTTATAGTGCGAAGCGAGCATGAACCCCATTCACTGCGAATGCAGCCAGACGGTTTGCTTCTGCATGCAGGAAGTGACGTTGGCAGCGACCTGATGACCCAGAAAGTCAGCCTTTTAAAAGGTGGGAGCCGGCTAGCTGTGAGCAATCATAATGACACATGCAGAAGTTCCAACCAGCTATTGCAGCCCCATTATAAAGTTGGTTGAGATTTTATGGACCCAACTACCACCTTACAATGGGGCTCCACTGTAGTTTGTTCGTTTACATGGAGGGCACTATATAAATGCAACATTTACTCCCAACAGTGAGGAAAAATTCTGCCTACAGTGATACCAAATTCTCTTTGTGTGTCTCTATCAAGGGATTACAGCTTCAACCAGCCTTCAGTTCCCCCGACACAAGTACAGCAGTTGTTACATTGAGTGCCCATCAATCGAGCATCACCAACACTTTGGCAGTGCTCGACTCAAGCGGCCTCGAGCAGCAGGAAGAGGAGCACCAGCAGGTATTCAGCCAAGATCATTTCCTGCAGCTCAGCAGCTCACTGTCAGACTGCGACTCTGCAGCTTCAGCCATTGTCAACGTCTCAGTATCTGAGCAGAACGTGAGGCAGCTGGTAACAGTGAGAGATACTGGCCTTGATGGAGGAGTCCACCAGATTCTGCTTGGGCCAGGACAGACCATCCCTGTACAAATCATGGATGCCACTTCACCCTCCACAGTCAGTAAGTTCTATAATTACTTTTTTTGTTTGTTTTCAAGTCCCTTTCCTCTCCTGAAGCCACTGACTTAATGGAGTTTGGTTTCATGAGTGCTGGATACTTTCTGGTATCCTACCCATTGGCCATTCTTCACAGGAGTGAGTACCTGATCTGTGGAGGAAATCAGCACCAAGTTCAATCCTGTCTTTGTGGCATCCATTGGCTAGCCATCTGGAGCAGAAACTTTGATTTTCCTTTCACTAACCCAGAAACACTAGTCTCAGTTACAGCATATGACTCCTCCCTCACCTAAGAGCAGCTAACTCAGCATAGGTCCCATCTGCCTGTTCAGATGGACACTGAAGATCCCATGCCACTATTCAAAAAGAGAAGCGAGTTTCTCCCAGTGTCCTGGTCAACAATCCTCCAAATAAAATTGGTCACTCTTTGTGGGACATTGCTGTGTGCAATTGTGCTGCCATATTTGTCTACAAATCCAGTCACTTCAATTCAGAGTAATTCCTGTGAAGCTCTTTGAGACGTCCTTCCGACGTGATAAGGCGTTATACCAAATGCAAGGATTATTATTATAGACCAGGATTGGGACCTATTATGAACTAGTGCTGCAAAGGCAGTGCCTTTACCCATATCAGGGGAAGTTAGTTTGATTTTTGATGGCATGAAGGCCACTATATCAATACAAATTGTTGTATTATAGAGGAGGTCTAAACCCTTCTGTCTGATGTGAAAACAAACGAAAGTGCCAGGAGTAAAAGGACAGAGCTGTAAAGCATTGCGATGTCCGAATGCTCCATCAGGGTGCATTCCTTCATTCCATCTGCCATGTAGAAACCCAAGCCCCAGAGATCAAAGTGTTTTACTCACACTACCACTTTGCTGTATGACTTTTCACATTGTCTGCTGAGCTCAGACCACAAACAATCCTCAGCGACTCCCAATGAGAAGGTAATGCACCTTAATTTCTCCTGACTGAATTCCTTAATGAACTGCTCTCGAAAACCACACCTGCTGTCATCAGGAGTGCCCTGGAATACTGCGGACTCGCCTGGCTCAGGAACTGGACCACTGAGACACCACAGAGGGCTGGCTCAATTCCAACTTTCTATTGGGTTCTGATGAAAGGTCATGGACCCGAAACGTTGACTCACTTTCCTTTCTCTATAGATGCTGCCTGACCTGCTGAGTGTTCCCAGCAACTTCTGTTTTTGTTTTCAGATTTCCAGCATCTACAGTATTTTGCATTTTGTTTCCGACTTTCTATTGCCAGGCATGTCACCTTAGAGCCAACTCAACTTCAGAGACCTCGCTTACCTCTCTTCCCTCCCCCCCCCCACCCCAGACGATAGTCACAAGTTAACTTGTTCAAACGGTTATAAGTGATTCAAAACATATTCAATTGCAACTGCAAGCACTAGTTATGCTGTCTATTTGTTGTACAGTTACCACTCGGGGTTTACTCTAAGGCAGTGGCGGCCAACCTGTGACCCATAGGCTGCTATACAAATGTAATCTTGTTGTTGTTGAAAGTGGTCCGCTAGGTCGTCGAGAAGTAGCCCCCTGAACATTCGCACAAGACCAGTAAGTCTGTGTTCAATCCGTTATGTTTTCAGTTTTTCTCGATTGAATATTTCTTGATTTATGGCATGGGTCAAGCAATATTAAATCAAAAATTATTTTACAGGCCGACCATAAAGGTTGGCCACCACTGCTCTAAGGGAAACATTAAAAGGGAAATGCAATTGCTTTCTTGCATTCATTCAACTACTTGGTTGCTCTAGAGTTGCATTTTATTTAAAGAAACATTTTTAAATGTGATCTTAGCCCGGGACAGTTCTGTAAGCTACATGAAAGAAGAGCTGGAAGATGGGCGTTTATCTGGAATTGGTTCCTGCACATCAGAGATAGCAGCACCAGGAGACTGACCCGCTGCTTCCAGTCTGCGGGCTCTAAAGAAACAAAGGTGGTTCCCAGTGACTGGTGCTGAACAGCACCCTGGTGCTTGGAGCAGTACAGAATCGCACGGAATACATGGGAGTTGTCGGGGACAGATCAGGGCCTTGTTAAAGGTTCCCTTCTTCTCCTGTAACAGTAACATTATTTGCCTGATTTACAAGGCAGGATATTTGCATGGAATTTTTGCTGCTTCATAAAAATGAACTTTATTGGGATTGACTGACAAAACATAGAAGCTGCTGAAAAGGAGAGTACCCAAGTACACTATTGATTTACCTAAGGTATACTCTTAAACATTGTTGAAAACTAATACAAGGCAAGCATTGCATGCAGGTCTATATTCACCAGCTGGGAATAGATCTTGTACTGGAATGTATCAAGATTATCTTAAGGACATGTCTCCACAGGTCTACTGCAGCCCTCGGTTTGAGGCTGTTGTTGCTCACAGTGTTTCACAGTCAACTTGTGATTATTTGTGGTGCTGGTACTGGATCTCTGTGCTGGTGAGAGTACATGAATAAAGAGCATGCTGGATCTGATCAGGCCAAATACGTCTATTCTGAAATTCCTGCAAAAACATTGGAAAAAAAATGCAACATGGAGCTGGTTTGCAATAGCCATTGTTTTGTTTGGAGTTGAAATAAGAAGGGGAGCCTGAGATATCTCGTTGCAGTTTTTAATCTCTACAGAAAGGTCTCTTTGGATTCTCTGCAAATAGAGCTGAGTGGTGTGTTTGAGCTCTGGGACGTACAATGTTTGGGAGTGGACTGGCAGCATGCATTGTCTCTAAATTCTGACAATGTGTAGCTAATTTTTTTTTGCTGCTGTGCTTGACTCCTGCCACTGGAACTTTGGAAAGTTTGCCCGTAGAATACAGTGGTAGGAATCCCAGAAATGAAGAGACAGGTTCTGGGATTGAACTGAAGAAACACATTGTTTTAACTGCTTTGATTCATTGGATATAGGAATACATAGAGCCTATAGCCACAATATTTATTCATCTCTCTTTGAAGGAGGGTGAGGAGCAATCTGGGTAAGATGTAGTCTCCACTGCAACTTGTTCCCTATTTTTGGGTGAGAGAGATGGGTCTTCTCTCATACTCTGTGTATCTCAGTGCTGGTACATGGGCTGGGGGGGGTTAGAGAGACTGATTGAGGGGACACAGATCTACCATTTCTTCCAGTAGGACTCTTGCCTGCTACCTTGAAGGCATTTCCCCTTTTACCTGGTTATAATGGCAGATTGCTGAATGTAATTGTACTTCGCTGTATTTATCTTGTAAATATGACTGCTTTAGTATCTTAAGACTATCATCTCCCCACTCCCCTTTTTTAGGGTGGTCTTCAAAAGATCAAAGGTCAAACATTTTTTTTGTTTAAAAACTTAAATCGGGGAAACATACCTCTGTGAGGAAATGCCAAGTGGTTGAACCATCTGAATCTTTTGGGATTAATATTCCTGGTTACAATGGGGGGGGGTGGGGGGGAAGAGAAATGGAGCAACTGTAATTTCCCCCTCCTCCCTGCCCTTTTTAGCAGGCTATCATCAGAATAATTCATACAATTGTAAACAACCAATGGGGACTATTAATTCTACTTATCCGCCCACCAGGCATTGTCCAGAGAGGTACATGGAACTCGGTGACATGTGGCCATAAATTATGCTGCTGCGCAGTAAGATAGTGTTGGCAAAGGATTGCTGCATTTCATTCAAAGCAATTCACAAAGGAACAAAAATAATTCAAATAAAACCCACTTTTAATTGTATTCAATTGTAGTTTGTCATTTTTTTATCATCTTGTTTTCAATTCTGACTCTCAGTCAGTGCTCTTGGAATGAGCATGTTTCAATGGGGACGTAATACCACAGCCATTACTGCAATCCTGTAATTTAATGATTGGAACACTTGCCTCACAAGCAAGAGGACCTGGGTTCAGCAGGGCGAAACATTGGGCATGTTTCCTTACTCCACACGCCCGTTTACCTACCAGTAGGTAGGAACCCGGTTGTTAGTCAATTGGTGGCTCGTTTTTGCAGGGGTAATAATCCCTTTCAAAAAAAGTGATCACTCAATCCACAACTATTTGTGGGACACTGCTGTGTGCAATTGGCTGCCGCGTTTCACCCACAAAATATAGTCATATATATTCTGTGAAGCGTATTGAAGATGTGATAAGGCGCTATGTCAAATGCATGGATTATTTATTGTAACTTCAAATTATTACCAACCTGGCCGCATGTATGCAATTGGCTCTCGTGTTTCACCCACAGAATACACTGTCAATGCACTTATATCTTGGGAAGCGCTTTGAGATGTCTCAACAATGCTATATCAAATGAAAGTATTATTATCTGCAGGCAGGGTTCCAGCCCGGCTGCCCTCATTCTCTTGGAACTTAAATCCAGATTCCCTCCAATTTGCAGTCTCCCTCACCTCATTCAAGGTCTATCTCAAGACTTCTTCGCTCATTCTTCGAGCCATCTTTCCCCTCCCACATTCCTCCTTGGCTTCCATTCCCCAGCTTGGGTACGGAGCCAGGGCTTGGGCGCTTTGGGACGTCCTGGACAAAGTGCAATATAAATGTTAATCATTGTATGATTTATGCCTCCCAGTTCATTTGTAACCTCCCTTCCCCTCTCACCCTCCCTCAAACATCCTCCCAAACGCTTATATCTGCTGAAACTAAGTGCACAAGCAATAAGTGCCGTTGGTCATGTGCATCGCAACAAAGATAAAGTGACTGACTATACGTCCCTGATTTCCGGGGACAGTCCTGGATGAGGTATTGTGTCCGGGGCTAAAAAAGTCTCTGAAAGAATCCCTGGTTAGAAAAAATCATCCCCGAAATACCCTTCCATTTGATTTCTCGTGTTTAATGTCTGACCGTGGAGTCCTGTAGCTCAGTGGTTAGAGCACTCGCTTTGCAAGTGAGAGACCTGAGTTCAATTCCTGGCAGAGGGTGAAACCTTGGGCAAGTTTCCTTACTCCACACAGAGCCTAATAATAATCCCTCCAAAACCAAAAACAATAATAAATTGGTCATTTTCAATCTACGACTGTTTGTGGGACATTGCTGTGTGCAATTGGCTGCCGCGTTCGCCCACAAATATACAGTCAATTCACTTCACAGTATATTCTGTGAAGCGCTTTGGGACGTCATCCGACGTGAAAAGCGCTATATCAAATGCAAGGATTATTATTATTATTATTATTGATCCACTACAACATTCGGTATAAAAAAAGCGGAGCTGTTGCTTTACTGACGAACTTCCAAACCGTGAAAGCCATTCTCATCGTCAAAACAACTTCAGTTTTGCTCTGTCCTGAGCTCAGCAACAAACTGTAAGCGAGAACAACATTATAAAGTCATCAGAGAAATACAGCCATTAATCTGCAGCCTTCTCCGGTAACCGCCAGAGCAGCGGGAGTTGCGGTGAGTTCGGTGTCAGTGAATGTGCGGGTTACTGGGCCACAGGGCCCATCATGGCGGCACCGCGGCATCAAACGCCACTGAGTGGATAGCAGAAAAAGTGATGTGGGCGGGAGGGGAGGGTCGGGTCGGGTCGGCGTGCGGCTGGTTGCGCCTGGCGGCCACGTGGTGTGCTCGCCTCTGTGACACGCGGCTGCGGTTGCCTGAGACGCATGCGCGGTGGCGGCGCCGCTCACTGCCCTTCCCCCCACCCGCCGGCCGCCATGTCCCAGGTGCAGGCTCGCTTCCACACCCACAGCAACAGGTGAGTGGCTCCGCGCCGGACACCCGCTGCCGCCGACCCTCCTCTCCGCCATGCAGCGGCGTCAGGGGGAAAAGGAGAGCGCCGGACTCGGCCCATCACCGCCTCCCCCTCACCCCCTCCACAGCGAGGGCCTCCCCTCACCCCCTCCACAGCGAGGGCCTCCCCTCACCCCCTCCACAGCGAGGGCCTCCTCCTCACCCCCTCCACAGCGAGGGCCTCCCCTCACCCCCTCCACAGCGAGGGCCTCCTCCTCACCCCCTCCACAGCGAGGGCCTCCCCTCACCCCCTCCACAGCGAGGGCCTCCCCTCACCCCCTCCACAGCGAGGGCCTCCTCCTCACCCCCTCCACAGCGAGGGCCTCCTCCTCACCCCCTCCACAGCGAGGGCCTCCCCTCACCCCCTCCACAGCGAGGGCCTCACCCCCTCCACAGCGAGGGCCTCCCCTCACCCCCTCCACAGCGAGGGCCTCCCCTCACCCCCTCCACAGCGAGGGCCTCCCCTCACCCCCTCCACAGCGAGGGCCTCCTCCTCACCCCCTCCACAGCGAGGGCCTCCTCCTCACCCCCTCCACAGCGAGGGCCTCCCCTCACCCCCTCCACAGCGAGGGCCTCACCCCCTCCACAGCGAGGGCCTCCCCCTCACCCCCTCCACAGCGAGGGCCTCCCCTCACCCCCTCCACAGCGAGGGCCTCCCCTCACCCCCTCCACAGCGAGGGCCTCCCCCTCACCCCCTCCACAAACCCTCAGCCTCACTACCATCGCCCACCACCGACCTCAGCCACACTCAGCACCCAACACCGTTTAGGATGGAAACATGCTGGAGGCGCATGGAAGCTGCAGATCACATCTGTGTTTACTAGAGCAGAGAGACATGATCCACACTCTTATCCCAGACTAGACGGGCATCATCTACATTCTTATATCAGACTAGAGACCCATGTAAACATATAGGTCATGTCTCTGTTTACACCAGACGAGAGACGCCATCTGCATGTTTATACCAACAAAAACAACTTGCATTTAAACAGTGCCCTTCACATGCGTTAGCTTCTTGGAGTGCTTAACAGTGGTGTAGCTTGCTGCTGAGCTGGGGAGAGAGTTGAGGTGATGATTGAAGAGGAAAGTCTGCTTCGCGTGTGATCAGAAAATTGGAAGACGAAGAGATTGAGGCAGTGAGTTCCATAGACTTGGGACGTAGTGGCTGAAACTAGCAACACATGGTCTACATGTTTATACCAGACTAGAGATACAATCAGAAGTCACTGGGAACAAACATTCAGCATGTCAGGCAGCATCTATGGAGAAAGGAAATTGAGTCAACGTTTCATGTCCGCGACCCTTTCATCAGAAGGGTCGTGGACCCAAAACGTTGACTCACTTTCCTTTCGATGCTGACCTAACCTGACCTGCTGAGTGTGCTCAGCAGCTTCTGTTTTTGTTTCAGATGTCCAGCATCTGCAGTATTTTGCATTTTTTTAAGAGACACAATCTACATGCCTCTACCAAACTATGATCCAATGTGTATCCCAGACTAGCAAGTCTTGATCTAATGCAGCGTGGTCCATTAGGGGGCTGCCTCCAGTCTGGTGGATGATTTAATCTGGCCTAAGACCATTTCCAACCTATCCATCCCAGGCAAACTTCCTGTCATGGCAGCGGAAGGCACTAGCAGTTGGGAGGCGCAGCATGACGAGTGGATATAATTCCGGTAGTTGCCTCAATGTGTCCCAAGACCGGGAGAGCGACCGTTTCTGCTGCCAGAGAGGTGTGGGGAAAGAGAGTGATAGTGATTGACAGAGAGGGTGAGAGAGCATTTGGAGAGAAAGAAACGGAAGTAAAGCAAAGAGTGATTGAGGGAGAGAGAGTGGGTGTGTGGTGCTGAGGAAGAGAGTGACTGAGAGGGAGAGAAACGAAGAGAGAGAGAGAAGTGAGGACGGCATTTTGTGATTCACTGCCAGGACAGATGATCAGAGCCTCCCTTGGCTGCCGCGGTGGGGACCGCACTCCCCACCCTAACATAAGAACATAAGAAATGTTAGATGAAAAAAAGACCAAGATCCATCGAGTTCGCCTTCCACCTTCATAGAAACTGGAGTAGGCCATTCGGCCCTTCAAGCCTGTTCCGCCATTTAATTAGATCATGGCTGATCTGTACCTCAACTAATCCTTTCGGTTCCAATTTCCCGCTTTCTCACCATATCCCTTATTACCCTGACTTACCAAAAATCTATCAACCTCACTCTTAAAGATGTGAATGGATCCTGCATTCACAGCCTTTTTGGGAAGAGAATTCCAGATTTCTACACCCTTTGAGTGCCACCTTCCTGGCAGTCACATGCACATATGTCCCAAACTACCGATGTACTATATTCATTTCCTAAAAGAAAACTATCTAATCTATGTTTAAACAAATCAACATTTCCTGCTTCAACCGTCTCCCGGGAGAGGCTGTTCCGCAGGTTTACTTTTCACTACTACATCCTACCTGTACAATCTCCCGACACAGCTGTTCCCTTTACCGAGTGAACATCGGCTTGCACCCCATATGCCCCACCATTGGCATTTTGCCCCCAGTCCCTCTGACTTGCTCCCTCCCTCCCCTCTTTCAGGGCGCATCAAGACCTAACTGATCAAGCTTTCAGTCATCTTTTCCCCTCCTCATTCCACATTCCTCCCACCCCCAGCTCAGGTGCTCAGCCGGCAGTGTTGAATGCTTTGAATCGTCCTGCCAACGTGAAAAGGTGCCGGGTAAATGTTGATATGTTTCTGGAAGGGAATCACAAAAATGTTGCTTATGCGACACGCAGACCTTTCTCAAATAGGGTATCTGGACCTCAGCAGCCAAAACCACCCTGATCAGTCTGCCTATCAGACATCAAATCCTGAATGAGAGCCAACTTTCTACAGTTGAACGTCAGCAAGACCAATGTTCTCCTGATTGGCTCTCGCCAGCGCCTCCGCACCTCAGCATCAGCATCCATGGATGCACACTCCATATCACCAAACTAGTCAGGAACCTAGACGGCTTGTTCGACCCTCAACTGTCCTTTCTCCCCCACATCCCTGCCTTTCCCTACCTACATAACATTGTCCGACTCAACCACTGCCTCAGCCCTCAGGCTGCGAAACTCTCATACATGCCTTCATTATAACCATGCTTGACTATGCCAACTCCCTGCTTGTCGGCCTCCTCAACTCCTTCCTCCGTAGGCTGCAGATCATCCAGAACTCTGAGGCCCGTGTCCTCTCCTGTACCAGGCTCAGTGGCCCCATCCTCGCTTGACTCGACTGGCTTCCCATCACACAGAATACAATTCAAGGTCTTGGTCCTCACTTTGAAAGCCCTTCATTGCCTCACAAATATACAGTCAATTCACTTTACAGTGTGTTCTGTGAAGCACTTTGGGACGTCCTCCCGACGTGAAAAGCGCTATATCAAATGCAAGGATTATTATTATTGCTCTCCCTTACCTCTGAATCCCCTATCAACCTGCCCTCTCCCCCCGCTCAGCGGGCTTCAGCCTGCTTCACATCCCCCGCCTCATCCATCCCACCATTGGCGGGCGGGCCTTCAGCCACTCCACCCCCACCCTCTGGAACTCCATCCAGGAGTTCCTCCGCCTAGGCCCCTCCCTTGCCTCCTTCAAAACCCATCTCAAGACCCTCCTCTTCGATCGTGCCTTCGATCGTCCTCCTGCCCTTCACCCTCCCCGATCCCGACCCTAACTCAGTGTTGGTCCTCCCGACCTGAAAGGCTCTATACAAATATAATTTTGTTGTTGTTGCCTTGTAAAGATATTTGCTTCAGGGCTGGGTATATGTGTTCTTCCCACCCACCACTGAGTTTTGATGTGAGATGTGGGGAGGAAGCTCTTAAGTTCTTCAAAGTGTTAATTCTATCTGAATAGCTCCATTTAACTGTAACAGCAACTTGCATTTGTATAATGGCCCTCAGGTAGGGGAACGTCTCAGAGGACTTCAAAAGGAACAGGGCTGGATGCTGAACGGGTGGGGGGGATCAAGGTGTTCACAGCTTCACTGTGACCTGCTATCCTGCCATCCTAGTCGCTTACCCTCTGCTCACCTAAGACCTGCCTGCTTCATGTCTCTTTGTCCAACCCACACCACCATCATTGGGCAAGATTTCAGCCATCTGCTCCAATCTCTGGAAGTCCAACCCGAAGTCACCTTTTTGGTCACCTTTCCTCCCCCAGCGTGGACTTCTAATTGACTCTGTGAAGAATGTTCAGATGTCCTTCTGATGGTCCTTCTGTGTTAATGTAAAATTGCTATTGTCATCAATCAAGCAGTCAATCAGTGATATTCTTGATCAGCACAGACCTTCCTGGAGATCCTTCCAGAGCAGCCTCTCCAGCTCCAGTAGATGGGGAAAGAGTAATGAGGTGGGAAGAGAGAGGCAATAAAAAGGAAGTTGTTCTTGTTCTAATAATAAACATTGTGTTTCTACATACAGATATGAAATCGATGACATACCGTTCTCTGTGCCAGCCGATTCTGAAATAGTTGAACTCAGCAATGTTATTAACAAGCTACTGGAGGCAAAAAATGGTGAGTCTATATGCTTCAACATAGCGGCTAGCTGGTTATTTACCAGTTGAAGTGAACTAGCTGGTGTTCATTGATTGTGTCCTTTATATTAAATGAATCCTTAGGACCTAATCTTATAGTGAGCTTTAAAATCCACCTCTTCACCCAAGTAACCTGGGTCCAAAGCCATTTAAATGTCCCACTTTAAATGAGTTTTCCTTTGATCAGACAGGTGTTCGACACACCTGGAAATCCATCAGCTTGCTTAAGAGTCTGAACCAACTCCCCTGCGATTTCTATATATGCACGTGAATTTCCCTTTGTTTGGAATAAAATCAGTACTCTTTTCCCAGAGGGATGCATCCTGCGCACCTAATCTCAGATTAGCCACAGGTTAACAAGAGCCAAAGTTTGGGGGACTTCCAGAGAGTGGAGTTTAAGCAGCTAAACATTGTGAGACATTACTGTGTGCAACTGGCTGCTTTATTGTAGGTCAACAAGGCAGCCAGTTGCACACAGTAATGTTTCACAAACAGCCATGAAGTCAATGACCAATATTATTGGTGGGTTGTTGGCAAGAACACCAGGAGAAACTCACTTTTCTTTCTGGATAGAGCCATGGGATTTTTAACGTAGACCTACACAAGCAGACTTTTAATTCAGTTTAATGCCTCGTTCGAAAGACGTCGCCTCCAACAATGCAGCAAATTCCCAGTATGGCATTGGACTGTCATCTTAGATTGTATAAATCCCAGTTTGTGGGGTGGGGAGAATTTGTGCACACGGGATGGAGTGTTTACAGGCATAACTATTTTCTTTTGTACCTTTTACAGACAATCATAAACATGTGGAGTTTGACTTTCTCGTCAAGGGCCAATTCCTGCGGTTACCACTGGGAAAGCACATGGAACTGGAAAGCATCTCAACGGTAAATCATCTGTGATTGTGAAGCAGGTTAACATTAGACTTTGTATACTGCAGCTAGAAGGAGATGGGCTCAGTTGTTAGTGTGTCAGCCTGGCTCAGTTGTTAGCGCGTTAGTCTTTGAGTACTTGGTTGTATGTTCAACATCCAGTGGTAATCTTTGAAAAGAGCAAGAAGTTTATCCCAGGTTCTGGCCAACAGTCTCTCAGATAAATTTGTTTATTCAATTCATCTTTGTTTGTGGGGACATTGCTGTGCACAAATTGTTTGCCACTTTCAGCTACAAAATAGTCATTTTATAGTCTATCCTGTGATGTGCTTTGAGAAGTCCTCCTGACTTATTTGTAGGCAAACATAGTAGCCAATTTGTGAACAGCAATGCCCCACAGACAGCCATGAAGTGAATGTCCAATTTTATCCAAAAATTAAAGGTTAGAAAACCTGGCGAAACTCTCTTCTCAAACAGCACAGCCTTTGCCCACAAATATACAGTCAATTCACTTTACACTCTATTCTGTGAAGTGCTTTGAGACGTCTAGAAGACGTGAAAAGCCCTCTATCAAATGCAAAAATTATTATTATTAGTACCACAGGATCTTTGAATGTTCACTTGAAGGGCAGATGGGACTTTGGTTTAACGAAGGACGGTACTTCCTTTAATGCACTAGAGAGTCAGCCTAGACTGTGATGTCGATGTGGGGCTGGAGCCCACAAAGTTCAGAACCTGTGAGGAGAACCACATACCTGTCCATAAGCTTAGCTTCGTGAGACTCTGTGCGAGGAAACTCCCTGTTTTACATTTATGTTAAGGGGGAGGTTTCAGAAGGGAAGAAAGAGCCGTACATTGTTTTCATCACATTCTATAAGTCACACCTTCCTTGCTCTGATCCGTAAAACCAACAACAACTCACACAGTGTAGCGTCTTGAAGCACCGGACAGCAGCAGAGCTTGCCGCTGAGCTGGGGAGGGAGAGGGAGTGTGTGGGGGGGAGGTGAACATAGGCACGGTCGATGCGGAAGGTCTTCAGGTGCAATTTGAAGAGGGGCAAATTCGGTGGGGTGGGTGAGGTGGAAGGAATGAGGCAGGGAGTTCCAGAGGTTTAGAAATATTATAATAATTAATAGAAATAATAATTTGATCACTCAATCCACGACTGTCAGTGGGACACTACTGTGCGCAATTGGCTGCCGCGTTTTGCCCACAAACATATGGTCACTACGTTTTACAGTATATTCTGTGAAGCGCTTTGAGACATCTCAATGACGTGATAAGGCGCTATATCAAATGTAAGAATGATTATTATCAGAATGATAATGTGTTAACACTAGAGTAACAGTAATTATAGCACAATGCTGGGGAAGGAATTATAGAGAGTAAATATTGGGCGGTGGTGATCTCCTTTAGTTACTGCACTTCAAAGATGAATGAGCCATCCTGTGTTGATAATTATTTTGATATTCAGAAATTAAAATTAATATTCAGAAAGATTTTGTTTCCCAGAGTTGAGCTGGTTGGAGCCTGAATCGAAAAGCAAAAAAATTTGGCCTCGCTTTGATTATTTCTTTCTTCTGCACTTTGATAGGAAGAGGTAGTTGAGATAGAGTACGTGGAGAGGTATGCTGCTCCTCAACCAGAAGAGTGCATATTCCATGATGACTGGGTCAGTGCTGTGGAGGCGGAAGGAGAATGGTGAGACCTGAAGAACTGCTGAATTCTTTTGGGTAATTGGTGTCAAGCGGTGGGGCTCCTTGCTTCTTCCCCCTCCAACCCTCAAGTTAAATGTTTCTGGATCCTAGTTAAACTTTGCCCTGTGAATAATAACAGACCTTAGGCTTTTGTGTTTGTCTTATTCTTACCCGATTAAATAAGATGGTGGACTGTTCTCAAATAGCACAGTCGGATCCTGATATAATGCAGTTGTTTGGCCTCTTAAAAGCAGATGTTGTGTTAAAAGCAAGGACTCGGGCGTCTTAGGAGTCCTCCTGCAGTGACAGGAGCGGGATATATACAAGCAATTTGTGATATAGAACAGTAGCTCTCACAAACTGGGACTCAGCAAAGCCTATTGTGCACAGGAGCCACCCAGTTAGCGTCAGAATGTACTGCACAATCTGCATATATATTTTTATATATATATATATACATGTGTAGGAACAGGAGTAGGTCATTCAGCCCCTCGAGCCTGTTTCGCCATTCTATAAGATCATGGCTGATCTGGAACTCCATCCCCCAGTGCCTTCGCCTTGCTTCTTCCCTTTCCTCCTTCAAGGCCGGTCTCAAGACCTTTCTCTTCGACTGTGCCTTCAGCTCCCCTCTCAACTCTCTACCCCCTCCTCGCTCCCTCCCTTCCCTCCCCTCACCATTTCCCCCCTGCTCGGGTCCCGACCCAACTGTCCAGCGCCTTGGGACGTCCTCCCGACGTGAAAGGCATTCTATAAATGAAATCTTGTTGTTGTTGTATGTCAACTCCCAATTACCTGCCCTTTCCCCATATCTCTTGATACCCTTACCTCACAAATATCTATCCACCTCTGTCTTGAAAATTTGAATGGATCCAGCATCCACAGCCTTTTGGGTTCATTTGTTATAAACATTTTGTATACCTTTTGCGTTTTATACTGACCTGAAGTATACTATAATGGGACCAATTGTTGTCACTTCCAGCGGCAGACGTTATTGGAATCGATTGTCAATCTGCCTATCTATTTAGAATTTTTTATACTTCCCTACTGTTCAACAATTTAAACATTTTAATTTCCGGCCTCTCAGGATTCTCACGGGTTCATACGATAAAACGGCCCGGATTTGGTCTGTGGATGGCCGGCCACTCATGGCTGTTGCTGGGCACAATGAAGTAGTAAAAGACGTAGCTTGGATCAAGAAAGGTGAGTGATCTATCAGATATACCGACAGTATACCATGGAAGCAGACCATTTGTAGAGTCCCGTAACATAGTGGTTAGTGTTCTTGTCTCACAAACAAGAGGACCTGGGTTCAATTCCAGGGCAGGGTGAACCCTTAGGCATATTCCTTACTAGAATATATAAGTTTCCTTACTCCACACGCCTCTGTTTACCTAGCAGCATGTAGGAACCCGGTTGTTTGTCGATTGGTGGAACGCTTTTCAGAGTTAATATCTCCTCAAAAAAAATTGGGTACTCAATTCACGTGGAACACTGCTGTGGGCAATTGGCTGCTGGATTTTGCCCACAAAATATACAGTCAATGTACTTTACAATATATATTCTGTGAAGTGCATTGAGATGTCTCAATGACCTGATAAGGATTATTATAATTATTATTGTTTGGTCAAACTAATCCCTTGCCAGTGTTTTTATTCCACGTGAGCCTCCACCCCTCCCTATCCCCTCTTCCATATCCCTCTGTTCCCTTCTCTCACGCATTCATTTCGACATTATTCCCCCATTACTCGATCTCAAAGAGTTATAAAAAGCTGTATTTTGCCTATATAACAATGTTCACCGCATTTCAAAGGAAGTGCTTTAAAATGTTTCAATGTCATTAAATGCAGTGTTATTTTATTATTTAAAATGCCGCAGCACTAGTCATCCATAATGTATTTGGCAGAAATGTTGAGCAAATTACATTATTACTGAACAAAGCATTTTTCTGTTACGTTGCGGCCCCTCTATACAGTGCTTCAGGTTTGGCATTTAACATATTTAGCACACCATGGACCCACAGTATACAGTATACAACACACCTCTGGTGCTGACTGACTGGCTTCCCAGAGTGCAGAGAACTTCCCGGAGCCAGGGGGGTCCCCAACAACCATTGGAAATGTTTGCAGAGCAGTCACCATTAGCCATATAGCATTATGCACACAGCGTGGCAGTAGCTTGACAACCCTAGCAGTGCTGACAGACAGCCGCACTGAATTACAACCCATTATAAAGGGGCTCCCATAGCAGACCAGAGCTCGAGGTTCTGCTGCTCAATGTAACTCACTGACGGTCTCTTGTGGTAGAAACCCATATTACGCCATGGGTGAACATTATAATAATATTCTTTGTATTTGGTGTAGCATCTTATCATGTCATTGAGCCGTCTCAAAGCCCTTCACAGGATTTTACTGTGAAGTGTAGTGACTGGGTATTTGTTGGCAAACACATCTGCCAGTCTGTGCGCAACACTGCCGCACAAAGAGCCATAAGGTAAATTACCAATTTTATCATGGGACTTGCTGACCAGAACACCGGGATAAACACTCTTGTCTTTTTGAGTAATAATAATAATGATCCTTGCATTGCATTTGATATAGTGCTTTTCACATATTCTAGACGTCTCAAAGTGCTTCACAGAATATGCTGTAAAGTGAATTGACTATATTTGTGGGGGAAATGCGGCAGCCAATTGCACACAGCAGTGTCCCACAAACAGTCATTGATTGAAAATGACCAATTTAATTATTGTTTTGTTTTGGAGGGATTATTATTAGGCGCGTGGAGTAAGGAAACTTGCCCAAGGTTTCGCCCTGCCTGGAATTGAACCCAGGTGTCTCACTTGCAAGGCGAGTGCTCTAACCACTGAGCTACAGGACTCCTATTGCCATAGGATCTTTAATGTCCACCTGCACAGGCAGACAGGACTGCGGTTATTTAGGAAGGCATGTTGCTAAAGATCCCAAGGCACTATTTGAGAATTGAAGGGAGATTATCCTGGTGTCCTGGCCAACAATCCCACAGATAAAATTGGTCATTCACTTTATGGGTATTTGTGGGCATTGCTGTGTGCAAATTGGCTGCTGCCTTCACCTACAAATACTCAGTCGCTACATTTCACGATAAAGACCTGTAAAGGTGTTTGAGACATCTCGACCGCGCAATATGCCACCATATTAAACGTTAGGATTATTATTATTATAAAAGGAAAAAAGCTGATCAGATTGCTTATTGCATTGACCATTTAATTGTACATTTTAAAGCAAAATGGTGTAAAGAAAGTGATGCTCCCTAGGGTGATTCAGTTTCTAAGGTTTTTGCATTTCTTCTTTCTGTTAGATGGAACCTCCAATTTGCTACTCAGTGCCTCCCAGGACCAGACCATTATTATGTGGGAATGGAATTGTGAAAAGAATAAACTAAAAGCCTTGCATTCCTGTCGCGGACATGCTGGGAGCGTTGATTCAATCTCTGTGGATGGTACGAGGACCAAAGTGAGTTACGCAGTTGTGATTATTAACTGTCCAGTTTGGGACTGCCTCAGTCTAGGTGTGCAGACTAGCTTGTTTCTCCGGGTTGGTATTCCTAAGGTGTTTTAGGACAAGGCAGATTGGGAAATGGCAGTGCAGTGTAGGAGAGGTTGCTGAGCCCCCATAGACCATTATGCTATAGAGGTTTATGTTCTTAGCTTGTTATGTTCTGCAACTCCAGCCCCAAGTTCTTAAAATAAAGTAATGGTGTCTTTGAGGAGGCTTTTCTCTACCTATCGGCTGTCACAGATGTGTGGGAAATTGGATAGATGTGACTGCTCCATTCAGTGCTGTGGAGAATTATTAAATAAATCAATTTCCTTCCATCCGTCGGTTGAGACTTGAACTCATGATGTTTAGGGACCGTTAAAGTTCCCATGGCACTGAAAAGAGAAGGGAATCTCTCCCAGTGTCCTGGCCAACAACCCTCTGAAATAAAATTGGTCGTTCACCTTATGGAAGTTTGTGGAACCATAACGTGCCCAAATTTGTTAGCCCGTTTATATACCAGTATACAATCACGACACTTCACAGTAAAATCCTGTTAAGCGCTTTGAGAAGTTTCGATATAAGTTACGATATCAAAGGCAAGGATTATTATTATAATTCCTCCCCAGTCAATTCACTTTACAGTTTAGCTCTTTGAGATGTCTCAACAACATGATAAGGCGTTACATCAAATGCAAGTTTTGTTATGTTATAATTTGTGGTCACCCAAAGCCCTCAGTCTTGGTATATAGCTTGGTGGTTTTGTTATTGATTGTGGTTATAGAAGATAGTCTATGTTTCCATGGATTTATATTGTTAAACCTTCTGCTTAGTTTTGCAGTGGCTCCTGGGACAAGATGATAAAGATTTGGTCAGCAGGTAATGCAGAAGTTTGGTTTGCTATTTTGCTGCTTTTTCACTGTATGTGTCCAAAGCTATCTTGACTTCCCCCAGACCCTAAACCAAAGCTGATATTCTATTATGTTACAATAATAGTAATTGCACTTGCTCTGACATAATGCCTTATTATGTTGTTGAAACATCTCAAAGCTCTTCACCGGGTTTTACTGTAAAGTGCAGTCGAATCCGGCAACAACAACAACAACAAAATTACATTTGTAAAGCGCTTTTCACGTTGGGAGGATGTCCCAAAGCGCTGAACAGTCGGATCAGGACCTGCAGCAGCCAATTTGCTCACAGTAACGTCCCACAATGATCCATTTTATCTGGATTCTTGGCCAGCAGAAATCCCGTTCTCTCTTTGATTAGTGCATGGGATCTTTAAAGTAGACCTGAGCAGGGGTGATAAGGCCTTATATAATTAAAAGGGGTTATTATAGCCAAACTTGCACAGAAATGCTTAGAAATTAAAGGAATGGCCTCAGTTACTGGCGGGATGAAATTCTACCTCTTATTTCCTTACCAAAGCATCCAGAATTTGTCAAAATTTTCAAAAAAGTATTAATTTTGTAGCCGGTTTTCTGTGAGATCTTTTAAGATTGGGTTAAAATTTTCTAGATCCCAATGAATGTCTTAGATCAAGGCTCTACTGCAACCAAGATAATAATCAAGCACTAGTCATCTTAAAATATGTTACATGTTATGCGGAATGTGAAAAGAGGGTTATAGGATCTCAGGGCAGACTGCTGTGTAGACCTACTGTTTCCACTTGTGTCTCAGGAACCCTGTACTGGCTGAAAAGGCAACTGGGTAAACTGTTGTCTGCCTCGACATCAGTGCTGGGCTCATGCAACCTGTGTTGACTATTATTCCCTCTCTTACACTCTGTACTTACAATAATCCTGTAAATAATAATCCTTACATTTGGTACAGCGCCTTTCACATCAGGATATACTGTAAAATGAAGTGACGTTTGTGTTTTGGGGTGAACGAGGCAGCTGATTTACCCACAGCAATGTCCCATACACAGCCACAAAATGAATGAAAACATTTTATTTGGGGAATCGTTGGCCAGGACACCGAGTGAAACTCCTTTCTCTTTTCGATAGGGCCAGGGATCTTTAAAGTCGACCTGAACAGGCAGACTGAATCTTGCTTTACATCTCATCTGAAAGTTGGCACCTCCAACAATGCTGCACCTGTTCAAGTGGACTTTAAAGATCCCATGGCTCTAATCGAAGAGAGAAGGGGATTTCTGTATTGGAGTGTCAGCTTAGGTTGTATGAGTTCCAAGACCCAACTGAGCCACACTAACGCACTTTACTTCACAGTGACACGACTTACAGTTAGGAAGTTGCACATTGCGCTGCTGTGCCTCCTTTGCTTTGTCATTTGCCTGAATTCTCTTCAAAATCTGCTCCTAGTTCCTAGTGAAGAGGAAGAAATGATAGAGGAAACCGAGTGCAGACCGAGGAAAAAACAGAAGATTGACCAACCAGGCTTAACAAGAGTAAGTCAATACTTGATGTAAAAATGCAAATCTTCCATACAATTTTTTGTTATACATTACAAATTTACATTTATATAGGGCCTTTCATGTTGGGAGGACATCAAGGCCTTAGTAGTTCTGGCTTGGCATCCAAGCTGGGGTGGAAGCCAAAAGGCTGGAGAGGGGAGAGATGACCGAAAGGGCGGTCCTAAGTTGGACCTGAATGAAGTGAGGGAGGGAGCAAGTCAGATGGACTGAATGGAGTTTCAGGGAGTGTGGGCAGATAGCTGAAAGCCTGATCATTAATTGTGAGGTGGGTATGGCAGGGACATGAAGCAGGCCAGTGCCCACTGAGCCAAGGGAGCAGCTGGGTCAGTATGTATCTTGTTAGCTGACTAGATGACCTCTCTCACTAGCTTAACCTAGATGTACCTTTTTCCAGACTCCTAAAATGACAATGTCAGGCCACAGTGAGGCTGTTTCTTCTGTCTTGTGGTCTGATACTGATGAGGTCTGCAGTGCCTCGTGGGATCACACAATACGGATCTGGGATGCTGAGACAGGGGTCCATAAATCCACACTGGTGAGTCAATGCCTTTTACTCAATGGCTTCAATTGAGTGACAGGTTTTCTCCTTAATTCGCTTCCCCCACCCCATTCATTCACATAAAAGCAACTGGTCTTTTCATATTGAGAATTCCGTGCAGAAATGTGCAGCCGTTCAATCTGTGTGTGGCCTTAAGGACTCATCCTGTCAATTTCTGCGGTGCCACAAGAGATTTGGGTGAAGGTAGCCATTCGGCTCATTTGATCTCATTCTTCCAGAATACTCAACTTACCCTCCTCCCATCACAACACTAAACTGTTTCTTACATCTCCAGCTTCCTGGCCTTAACCTTCCTGGTAAGTGCATTCCAGTTGTTAATTACCCTCTGTGTAAAAAAAGTACTATCTGGTGTCTGTCCTGAAATTGCTTTTACAACCCTAAATCTGGGCCCTATGGTTCTGATGCCTTGGCATATCTGAAAGTAACCAAAATAAGCACGGTTTCCCACAGGAAAGCAGTACCCCAATCATTGCACACTGGGTTTCCCAAGCCTTCGCTCTTGCCAACCTGCTCTGAAACCCTCCCGAATTACGCAACCCACTGTGCATACTTGGGTTGTGCATACTTTCCTCCTCAGTTTGGAGATTCTTAAGCAATATGATGAGTATCTGCATGTGTTTCTGCACCCACATAACCAAAAAAGACCTTCAAAATTGGGCATTGTCTTTGTCAACTTGTGCTTTCTGAAATAAGAGTTCACTGGTTTATTTTTCTTAAATTCTGTACTTTCTCCTCTACAGACTGGAAATAAGGTGTTCGATTGCCTTGCTTACTCCCCATTGTGCAAAAGGCTGGTCTCAGGCAGCACAGACAGACACATTCGACTGTGGGATCCGCGCTCAAAAGGTAAATGTAAAAGTTTGTGCAGTGCCTCCTGCAAGGTGCTATTTCTGTAATCACCTCCAGCTTCCACTATATGTAACCAAACCCTGTAACAACCCCATAAATCCTGGTACCAACGCAGGGAGCTGGAGTTCAGGTACAGATCAGCTATGATCTAATAGAATGGCGGAACAAGTTTGAGGGGGTGAATGGCCTGTTCCTAGGTATCTCAGTTCTACATGTCCAAACTCTGATCTTAAAAGTACATTTTATAAAAGGGCACTTTTCTAAGTGCCAATGTTCCCAGTTACGATTGGGCATAGTCACATTTGGTTGATTGCTAGAATAGGCCCAGGTGACCTCTTCCCTCTTTATCGCTCCTGCCACAAGATGACCGATAAACAGTTTGCTCTTAAGAGGACTCTTATGTGTTGTTACCCTCTCAAAATGTGAGAGGCGTGGTCTCTCATTCATCCCTCAGAGAATCGAGTTCAAAACCCTCGTTCTCACCTTCAAAGCCCTCTTAACCCCATGTCAGCCTGTCCGCTCCCTCGGCTCGGCAGACACCTGCTCCAGGTCCCCCGCACTTACCGCCCCACCATTGGTGGTCGGGCATTCGGCATCTCTGCCCCCACACGCTGAAACTCTATTACGCAATCCCTCCACCTCACCCCCTCTCTTGTCTCCTTCAGGTCCCGTCTAAAGACCTTCCTCTTCGATTGTGCCTTCAGCCACCCCCCCTGTCCTCTACCCCTCCTGACCCCAAATCCCAGCTCAGGTCCAAAACCCCTGATTGTCCAGAGCCCTGGGACATCTTTCCGGCATGAAGGGCGCTATACAAGTGTAATTTGTTGTTGTTGTCTCTGACCTCTGATCTTTGGCACTCTGGTAGCAGACTCCTAACTGCTTTTTTGCATTATCTTGAACATATAAAGTATTTATTACTTGTGAAACTAAAGGCTAAAGGGCTGACGTTATTCCATTCTCTTTTTTCCTCCTTCAGATGGATCCCTAGTACTACTCACTATGACTTCACACAATGGATGGGTGACGGCAGTCAAATGGTCACCCACCCACGAGCATCAGTTGATTTCAGGTTCTTTTGACAAACTGGTGAAGCTCTGGGACACAAGAAGGTAATTGGAGAGGGACATTTTGTAACTAACTTCCTTACTCAAAGTCTTATGGCTACAAATGGAATTCACAGCTCAATAGTGACAGGAAACTTTTTAAGTTTGTAAAATAATGGGAAATTTTACAAAACTGACCTATTTGTAGCCTCTCTAATATTTCCACCCGTAGCCAAACTTTGGAATAAATCCTATTTATGCCCATTCAGGCTGGAATACAATTCCATATGAGGGAGAAGGGCATACGAGGGAGTAAGGAGTGGGGACCAATTCCCAACTCTAAACCTGTACTTCTTAATAGCCTTCCTCTGATTCATTAAATCTGATTATTGATCTCTACAAGGGGCACATTCCAATGTTTGCTGTGTGATTTTTACTTCGGGTTTCACATGTGAAATAACCTTAATTCAGAGATTGACTCTGGACACAAATACTTGTTACATAGCATAGCATTAAGCGTAGCTGCAACTGTACCCGTTGCAGCTACACTTGCAGCCAGTTTCATTTAACCGGCCTTTTCTCATCACATCATATGTGATGAGCTTGTTTAGGTCACGATAGGAAATCCCCGAAAAAAATATGCCCATGACACTCCATAATGCAAGACCTTTCCGTTGAGGTATAAATTATGTCTCTACATCAATCGGTTATTGCGTTCTTGACAGACAGACACACAGACATTTTATCTTTATTAGTATAGAGGAAGATGTATGCTATATGCCCTTCTGGAACTCCCTCTACCTCTCCATTTGCCTTTAAATTCCAACTAAAAACCTACCTCTTCGACTGTGCTTATGGCCATCTACCCCCTTCTTCCTTCATGTTCGAGCCAGTCATTATAAAGCACACCAAGACATTATTCTGTGTGAAGGCCGCTGTGTAAATGCTAATTATTTATGTAAGTCGATTTTGATGGCCTTTTTTTCTTGCATTTTAGTTGCAAGGCTCCTCTATTTGACGTGAATGCACACGAAGACAGAGTACTCTGTGTAGACTGGACAGAGACAGGGGTAAGTGACCAAACTGATGGGAAAAAAAGTTTCCTCTCTGCAAGCAGTAAGACAGCTACATTGAAGCAGTCTCAACCCATTTCCTTTGGGCACCAGTCCACAGTAGGAATGGGTACACTTTGACCAAATGTATACTTATCAGTAATGGAAAGCACCCTTCTGCAATGGGAGACGTTTTTCAGAAGTTCTGGTTAAGTTCTGGTCTGAGGCAAGACCGAGAGAGCTTTTGTCTGGATCTGTTTTGTGCAACACCTTACTTAGGAGTGATTAATGCTGATACCAGAGTTGAAATTTCTTTAGTGCTTATAGGCCTCGATGAGTAATGTACAAATATTATACATCATTTTCATGAGAAGTTCGGGATAGTCAATAAAGAAATGTCTAATCTTTTTGAATAATATTTGTATATAACCTTGTTTAGACCACATTTGCAGTCCTGTGTCCAATTCTGATCACAGTACTACAAAAAGGATATAGCAGTAATAGAAAAAGTACAGTGTAGGTTTACGAGGATAATACTAGGACTGGCAGGTTATTGCTATTGGGATAGAATGGAAAGGGCAGGACGTTTTTTGCTTGAAAAGAGACGTTTAATGGAGAACTAATAGAAGTGTTTAAAATTATAAAAGAGTTTGATAAAGTTAAACATAAATTGTCTGTTACCACTGGTTCGGGAGTCTGTAACCAGGAGACACAAGTATAACATAGGATCTAAAAGAGAATTTAAGAGGAACAGCAAGCAGTGTTGTGAGAATGTGGAACTCGCTGTCTGAAGTGGTGGTTGAATCCAGAGTATAGATTAATTTAAGCAGAAATCAGATGTACACAAAAGGCAGAAGGATATGGAAGGGGGAAAGGAATGGGTGGATACTCCTGTGGAGTACAAACACCGTCACGGACTGTTTGAGCTGAGTGGCCTGTTTCTGTGCTGTACAGTCTCTGTAAATCTGAGAATAAGAAAGTGGCGATTTGAGGTTGGGTAAACCTCGGAGCTGGTTTAAGATCAGTGGTGGGAAAAGCTTAGACTCCAGCTGTGTTCTCAGATTGGGATGGGTGAACAAGTGCCACAAGGAGATGGTAGGTAACTTGCAGATTAAACTTGTTGGGATGAGTGAAGAAACCACAAAAGTATAATTTATTTTTCTCATTTCTTTCAGTTGCTGCTAAGTGGTGGAGCCGACAACAAACTATTCTCATTCAAGTACTTGACTCCCAGCTCTGGGGAAGGAGCCTGATTGATGGGGATAGAAGCCTCTTTTCTCAACACACCATCGGGTGCAACAAAACATTTGATTGGACATTCTTGCCTTCCATTCTTTTCTAAACCACCTCACAAATAGAATCCATTTGCCCTCGATGACTGTTCTGACTCCAGCTCTTATTCTGTCTACAGACATTCAAGTGTTTTGTTTTTTCGTGTGTGATTAGTACTGAGACAAAAAAGTATCTTCCCAAATAGAGGTACTGGGATCACTACATGTACTCCAGCGGAAGGTTTAGGGGTAAGATGTCCTCTATAAAACAACAGAGGTCATAGCAACAACAATTGACATTTATATAGTGCGTTTCATGGCGGGAGAACTTCTCAAAAAGCTTCACCTGACTGAAAGAGAGCCTGAACCTTGTAAAACTGAGGCAAAGCTGTTGAATGCAAACCAGAGGGTTCTAAAATGTTTCCGTGTTTACAATCTAATATTAATTAACACTTTAAATTGGCACAGATATGTGGTGTAATTTTTTTAATGTTTTTTAAATAAGAAAATGGAAGTGTTGACCAATCTAGGTGAACCAATGGATTTCTAAACCGTTGATTTTACTCCTTGCTGCCACCCACATTTGCTGTCATCTATAGTCCATGTGTGACACTGTCTCAACAACAATAACAACAACAAGATTCCATTTATACAGCGCCTTTCATGTCGGGAGGACGTCTCAAGGATCTAATCTCCAAGTAATGTACCTCGGCTTTTGAAATCCTTAGTCTTTATTTGATTCTTCTGGGTCATCTGTCTCACTGATGGTAAAGGCCATCGCCTTGGGCTTGATGGGTGACCCAATCTTGGTTTGATTTTGATAAACAAGCACAAAGTGGCTTCTGGTTTAATCATGTTCGAGGTATGACAGCTCAAAGTGTTCTCTCTACCTCTTGTCCTGTAAATGATGACTGAGGCTGTTTCTATTGTGTTAGCTGGTACTCTGCTTACTATTTGAGCTGGTCCTGATTGGGCACACTAAGTGAGGTAATGGTTAGATAACTCCCATAAAGATTCATTGTGCAAAAAATTCAGAAGAAAAGTGAAAAAGGTTGAGCCAATTTAGAATAGTAAAACTGGGGCAAATATTCTAAAGAATGTGAAAACTAGTGCGCACTGTTAACTAGCACTGGGGCTTTGGCAATCCAGCTTGACCTCAGACTCATTGGTGATGGTTGATATCGTGCCCTCCATTCCACCATTGGTGGCCATGCCTTCAGCCACTACGCCCCAAAACTGGAACTTTCTTCCTCAATCCTTCCGCCTTGCCCCACCCTCCCCACCTTAATTATTCCACCTAAAGACCGTCCTTTTCAATCGTACTTACAGTCACCTGCCTCTCCCCCTGACTCATTGTCAGACTACACTACTGTGAAGTGCTCCAGAATGCTACCCAGCGTGATGGGCACTATATAAATGCAAGTTGTTAATTTATTGACAGTGTTGCTGTACAAAGTGCAGTGATTGGCCAGTCTTCCCTATTAAATTAAGGGGAGGCTGTTTGGGAGAGTCCTTTAAGATCCCACACAGTGTTCTCCAGCATTGGCCTTTATTGTTCAGGAACAACAGTTGGAAAATTGTGGTCAACACACAGCTCCAAAAGAACTACATAACTTCCACACTGCATGACCGCTTTGGCCCCAACACTTTCACTGAAGCTCACATTCTTTTGGCATTGATTAGGAGGGAAGGTAGCACTTGTCTTATTTGATAAAATTGCTTGTTTTCCATGTTCTTTTAGTTTCTGTCACAGACAATTTGTTCAAACAAACATGACCAATGTCCCTAAAGAGCCAAACCTACTGGGATTTGTACCAGTCCCAGCACAAATTTGAACTGTGCATTGGGTGAAGATCTGAGCTAGTTATCATCTAGTCAAAACTAGATGATATTAACCGATTTAAGAGTGAAGAAAATGAGCAAGAATCCTTGAAATATCCTGTGGTTTATCTGGCTGCTCTGAACAGCGGTTCCATTATATCCATAATAATAATAAATAATCCTTGCATTTGATATAGCTCTTTTCACGTCAGGAGGACGTCCCAAAGCGCTTCACAGAACACACTGTAAAGTGAATTGACTGTATATTTGTGGGCGAACGCGGCAGCCAATTGCGCACAGCAATGTCCCACAAACAGTCGTAGATTGAAAATGACCAATTTATTATTGTTTTTGGTTTTGGAGGGATTATTATTAGGTATGTGGAGTAAGGAAACTTGCCCAAGGTTTCGCCCTCTGCCTGGAATTGAACTCAGGTCTCTCGCTTGCAAAGCGAGTGCTCTAACCACTGAGCTACAGGACTCCACAATCCATCATTATATCCATCTGTTGCCTGAACCCCCGGATCCATCTGGATAGAGGCAATGGACTGTAGCAGATTTGTCTTATCACATAGAATAACGTGGAACAGGAAGGACCATTATAATCATCTCCAATGTGTGGCTCTACCCGGAGCGATGGGAAGAATAGAACATAGCTTTTATGTAGTTCCTGCTTCGCAGTCCCTGTATATAAAAATACTACAGCAATTACCCCATTACCCCTCTGGGGTCCCCAAGCCTTGGCTCTCAACAGCCTACATCTAATACTCTCCAGAATGAGGCGAGCAGGGGGCGCGTTCCAGTACCTGGAGATGTGTGTGTGTGTGTGTGTGGGTTACATGGAACTCTTAAAGGGTATCGCCACGTGTAAGCCACATGGTTGACCAAAATGTTCTGGGGCGACAGCGCCCCCTGTGGCGGGAGGATTGGTAATCAGCGCCCCCTGTGGCGGGAGGATTGGTAATCAGCGCCCCCTGTGGCGGGAGGACGGCGGTGGCGGTATCCTGGTCGTTGTGGAAGAAGCGGATTTCCAGGTAAAAGTGCGAGTCCGAGGGACGGCTTCCGCCGCTGTGAGACATCAGCCGCGCGGTGAGCGGCTGCACGTCCCAACCGCCGGCCCGAAGAAGCCGCCGCGAGGAGAGGAGAGCGGAGCGGAGCGGCTGCCGGGGGGGGCGCGGCGCGGCGCCCGGTATCCCTGGGAACAGGTGAATAACCGGAGAACGCCGAGGCCTGGGTCCAGGGTCCAGGGCCGGAGAACGATAAAAAAACAAAAGCGGCTCCGCGTGAGGGGGAGGAGGCGCCAGGAGGAGCCCGGGGGGGGCGGGGGAGCGGGGGGCCCGGGGGAGCGAGGGGTCAAGGGGCGGGGGCCGGGGAGCGGGGGAGCGAGGGGGGCCCGGGGGAGCGGGGGGGGGGGGGGGGGGGGGGGAGCGAGGGGGGCGGGGGGCCCGGGGGGGGAGCGGGGGGGGCGGGGTCCGGGGGGATCCAAACCCAACGGCCAGGAGGTTCCCAGGAATTAGCATCTGTTTGTAGCCCAAAATAGCCCAATAGCCCAGTGGGGGCTGTAGGGCGGTTTGCCAGAAATAGTGGAGTCCTGTAGCTCAGTGGTTAGAGCACTCGCTTTGCAAGTGAGAGACCTGAGTTCAATTCCAGGCAGAGGGCGAAACCTTGGGCAAGTTTCCTTACTCCACACAGAGCCTAATAATAATGCCTCCAAAACCAAAAACAATAATTAAATTGGTCATTTTCAATCCACGACTGTTTGTGGGACATTGCTGTGCGCAATTGGCTGCCGCATTTCGCCCACAAATATACAGTCAATTCACTTTACAGTATATTCTGTGAAGCGCTTTGGGACGTCCTCCCGACGTGAAAAGCACTATATCAAATGCAAGGATTATTATTATTATTAAATTAAAATGCGTTTGTAGCCCAAATCCCACCAAATACTATCACAATAATATTAATGATTCTGCATTAGATATAGTGTCTTATCACAACTTCAAGATGTCCGATAGCGCTTCACAGAACATTACTGTAAAGTGAAACGAAAGCAGGAATTGCTGGGAAGACTCAGCAGGTCAGGTCAGGTCCGGCAGCATCTATAGAGAAAGGAAAGTGAGTCAACGTTTTCGGTCCACGACCCTTCGTCAGTTATAGTCCAATATAAATAATCCAATATGTGTGGCTGCCTCCTATATCGGTAGAAGCAGTGGCCAATTTAGGTGGTGTAGCTTTTTGAAACTGTAAGAAAAGGTCTTCAAAGGAAACACAAAAAAGTGTTCTGCAGGTTTAAATTTAAAAAAAAATTAGGCACCGTTTTTTTCATGAGTAGTACAACAACAACAACAAAATTACATTTGTAAAGCGCCTTTCACGTCAGGAGAACATCCCAAGGCACTGGACAATCAGTGATCAGGACCCGAACGTCGGGGCCAGGGTAGGGATGAGGGAGGGCAGAGAGGTAGGAGGGCGGCAGAAAGCACAGTCAAAAAGGTCTTGAGTCATGCCTCGAAGGAGGCGAGAGAGGGAGCAAGGCAAAGGGACTGCAGGATGGAGTTCCAAAGAGTGGGGGCAGAGAGGCTGAAAGACCGGCCGCCGATGGAAGGGTGAGTCAGGCGGGAGACACGGAGCAGGCCAGAGCCTGCTGAGCGGAGGGAGTGGAAAGGTTGATAGGGGGTGAGCAGGTCAGAGATGTAGGAGAGGGCAAGGCTGTGGAAGGCCTTGAAAGTGAGGATGAGGTTTTTGAATTCTATCCTCTGAGAGATGGGGAGCCAGTGGAGCTGGCCAGGGTGGGGGTGATGGGGTCACAGAGCCTGGTGCAGGAGACAACACGAGCTGCAAAGTTCTGGATGATCTGCAGCTTGTGGAGGGATGAGTTGGGGAGACCGACACTGAGGGAGTTTCCATTGTCAAGCCTTCAGGTGATGGATGCGTGTATAAGGGTTTTGGCGGCCTGTGGGGGGGTGAGGCAGTGGCGGAGTCGGGTAATGTTGCAGAGGTGGGGGAAGGCAGGGCGGGTCATGACATGGATATATCATAATAATAATACTATTATATGGGGGAGAAAGGACAGTTGAGGATTGAACAAGATGACCAGGTTCCAGACAGGCTTGGTGAGGTGGAGTGTGGAGGCTGATGCTGCCAGTGCCTGAGGTGTGGAGGCGCTGGCACGAGCCAATCAGGAGTGCCTCGGTCTTGCTGACGTTCAGCTGTAGAAAGTTGGCTCTCATCCAGAACTTGATGTTATCAGTCTATCAGAACGTCAGTTGTTCCGGAATCGAGGTTGGAGGCAGAGAGATGGAGTTGGGTGTCATCTGTGTACATGTGGAAGTTGACCCCATGTCTGCAGATGATGTCACCAAGAGGGAGCATGTAGAGGATGAAGAGAAGGGGACCAAAGACGAAGCCCTGAGGGACACTACACTAGACTGTGCGGGGGCTGGAAGAAACTGTTGTGGGAGACAAATTAGAGACGTTGTGAGAGATAAGACTTGAACCATTCAAAACAGAACCTTCAAGTTTGAGGTGAGAGGAGAGGCAGTAATAATAATCCTTGCATTTGATATAGCGCTTTTCACGTCAGGAGGACGTCCCAAAGTGCTTCACAGAACACACACTGTAAAGTGAATTGACTGTATATTTGTGGGCGAACGCGGCAGCCAATTGCGCACAGCAATGTCCCACAAACAGTCGTAGATTGAAAATGACCAATTTATTATTGTTTTTGGAGGGATTATTATTAGGCGTGTGGAGTAAGGAAACTTGCCCAAGGTTTCAGTAGAGGAGGATGGAAGTGGTCCACGGTTATCTAAGACAGCAGAGAGGTCGAGGAGGATGAAGAGGCAGAGGGAGCCCTGGTCACAGATGGACAGGGTGGCATTTGTGACTTTGACAACAGCAGTTTCCATGCTGTGAGCTACACGGAACCCCGATTGGAGAGGCTTGTGAAGGGAGTGGTAGGAGAAGAAGGAGCAAAGCTGGGAAGCAATGCCTCTTTCAAGGACCTTGGAAAGAAAAGGGGGATTGAAGATAGTTAGAAAGCAGGGATGGATCCAGGGAAGGTTTTTTCAGGATGGGGTGATTATAGCTGTTTTTAGGGGAATGGGGACAGTGCCAAATGATAGTACAATGATAGTAGTACGTGGAGTCCTGTAGCTCAGTGGTTAGAGCGTGAAGTGAGAGACCTGAGTTCAATTCCAGGCGAAACCTTGGGCAAGTTTCCTTACTCCACACGCCTAATAATAATCCCTCCAAAACAAAAAACAATAATAAATTGGTCATTTTCAATTCTACGACTGTTTGTGGGACATTGCTGTGCGCAATTGGCTGCCGCGTTCGCCCACAAAAAATATACAGTCAATTCACTTTACAGTGTGTTCTGTGAAGCGCTTTGGGACGTCCTCCCGACGTGAAAAGCACTATATCAAATGCAAGGATTATTATTATTATTACAAGAAAAAAAAGGCAATTTGGGCACATGAGCCCATCTAATGTGGCCACATTGCCCCACATCGGGACTTAGAATCCCAAAGTCTAAGGTTGATGCTCCAGCGCAGTGCTGGAGGATTGCTGCATTGACAGAAATGTTGACCTTTGGATGAGGTGTTAAACCTCAGCCTTGTCTGCCTGTTCAGGAGGACGTTAAAGAGCCCTGCGATGCTATTTGAAAAGACAAGGGAGTTTTCTCTCTCCCGATGCTCTGTTCACCTGCAAACACATGGTCAATAGACTTCACTTTAAAATCCTGCGAAGTGCTCCTCCTGACATGAAAGGCGTTATACCAAACGCAAGGATTGTTATTCTAAAATCGCTGAATTGGATGATACCATGGGGTCCTGTAGCTCAGTGGTTAGAGCACTTGCCTTGCAAGCGAGACACCTGGCTTCAATTCCAGGCAGTGCGAAACCTTGGGCATGTTTTCTTACTCCACACAGAGCCTAATAATAATCCCTCCAAAACCAAAAACAATAATAAATTGGTCATTTTCAATCTACGACTGTTTGTGGGACACTGCTGTGCGCAATTGGCTGCCGCGTTCGCCCACAAATATACAGTCAATTCACTTTACAGTGTGTTCTGTGAAGCACTTTGGGACGTCCTCCTGACGTGAAAAGCGCTATATTAAATGCAAGGATTATTATTATTATTTACCCGCCATATCCCCATATCCCTTAATCCTTCTATCCTTTAGAAATCTATCAACCTCAATCTTGAAGATTACAAAACTCTAGTGACAACAATTGATTCCTCAGTATTATTCTGAAGAAGAGTTGGAGCATTATTGACAGAATAAAGAGTACAAGCCTCTTGGATGGGGGGACAGTTCCTCAAGTATTTAACTCAATCTTTTACCGTGTCTTAGTACAGGTTTGTGTGCCAAGGAAGCCTCGTCAAGTATCCCAGGAGGAAATTTGGTTGATAAACATCCTGTGCTATTGAATTCAGGAAGTATGCTTGGAAAGTGAAATAATTTCTGGGACCAGTAATTCCTCCCAGGGTTTTGATTCTTGCTTTCACAGATTTATGTTGGATCCACAGTTTCTTATGATCTGATATTTCTTACTCACAAAGAGCAATTTGCTCTTATCTCGGCTGACTGGGCTTAGTGGGTTCCTGTTCTGCTGGCAATTCCATTTTATATTGTTTGGCAGTAAATACTGGCCCTGCCAGCATCACCCAGATCCTGAGAAAAAACTTTTTTTAAAAATAATTTGCCTAAAATGGTGCTAACCCCAAATGTAAAACTCTGTACTCAGGCTTGGTTGTCTCAGGAAATCAAAGTGATTGTGATCACTGCTCTTCGAAGATTTAAAAACAAACAGACGCAAAGTATGTGACTGCTGGCACCAACCACTTGAGTTTCTTAAATTGTGACTTTCCTGTGTGCAAATTGGCTGCCACGTTCAGCTACAAAATTCATAGTCACTACACCTTGCAGTGAATGTTGTGAAACACTTTACGAATGTCCTCTTGATGGGAAAGGCCTTCTATCTAATCAAAGAATCATAGAATTTTACAGCACCGAAGGAGGTCATTCGGCCCATCGTCTGTGCCAGCTCTTTGAAAGAGCTACTACTAGTCCCACTCCCCTGCTGTTACCCCATAGCCTTGCATATGTTTCCTTTTTAAATACCTATCTAATTCCCTTTTAAAAGTATTATTGAATCTGCTTCCACCACCCTTTCAGGCAGTGCATTCCAGACTCTAGCAATTCTCTGGGTAAAAAATGTTTTCCTCATCTCCACTCTAATAATAATGCAAGAATTATTATTGTTATTCTTTTCCTCCTATGTCTGCCCTTGTACGTGTTCCAGCAATAAACACAAAGGATAGTGGGCTAACCTAGGGTAGCTGAAGCTAGCTCCCTACTACTTTTCCAATATGGTAACTCAGCACAACTTAAGGAAGAGGGTGTGTGATCTTTATCGCTCAGTATCTCACTGGGTGATGTATTACCCAATGATCCATAATATTAATAATAATCCTTGCATTTGATATATGTCTACAATATCAAAAAAGTCTCAAAATGCTTTATAGTAATTATGATGGAGTCTCGTAGCCTAGTGTTTAACACGCTTGCCTCGCAAGCGAGAGGATCCAGTTTCAAATCCCGGGTGCAGTGAAGCCTTAGGCACGTTTCCTTATTCCACACACCTCTGTTTACCCAGCACTAAGTCGGAACCTGGTTGTTAGTCGATTGGCGGATCACTTTCCACAGGTAATAATCCCTCAAAAAAAAATTTGGGGGTCACTCAATCCACGACTTTGTGGGACACTGGTGTGCGCAGTTGGCTGCTGTGGTTTGACCACAAAATACATAGCCAATCCACTTACAATATCTATTCTGTGAAGCGCTTTGAAATGTCTCAAAGACGTGATAAGGCGCTGTATCAAATGCAAGAATTATTATTAAATGTACTGCCTTTTTAGATGAGCACGGCAACTCGTTTGTACACAGCAGTATATCACAAACATTCAGAAATGGACAATTTTATCTTGGGGGATAGTTGGCCAATACAATAGAAGAAACTCCCTTTTCTTTTCAAATAGGCCAGGTTGTTCTTAAACATCCACTTGAACAGGCAAACAGGACCACAGTTTAATGTCTCATCTGAAGCACGGCATCTCTGACAATGCAGCACCCTCCCAACACATCACTAGAATAGCCTGAACTGTGAACTCTTAAAGTCCCTGATCATAGAATCATAGAGCCCTTTTGGCCCATCGTGTCCGTTCCGGCTCTTTGAAAGAGATGTCCAAATTAGTCCTTCTCCGGCTGCAAATTTGTCCTCCCCAAATAATTATCTACTCTCCTAAAAGTTCGTATGGAATCAGCTTCCACGACCCTTTTAGGCAATGCATTCCAGATCCGAACAACTCGCTGTATGAAAAAATGTCTCCTCATCTCCTCTGTTTCTTTAAACAACTATTTTAAATCGGTGCCCTTGGGTTACTGACCCACCCACCAGTGGAAATTGTTTCTCCTTGTTCACCCTATCAAATCCCCTCATAATTTTGAAAACTTCTGTTAAGGTCTCCTCTTAACCTTTGCTGCTCCAAGGAGAATAATCCTAGCTTCTCTAGCCTCTCCTCATAACTGAAGTCCCTCATGTGAGGCTTGAACCCACAACCAGCTAACTCATAGGTGAGAGCATTACCACCTGAGTCAGGCTGACAAACTACTGTCTTTCCACTCTATTCTGGCTTTGTCTGTTTTCTGTCTAGGGAGGTGTTGAGTGCTGAGATAAAGGAGTTGAAATAAATGATCTGTATTTGATTCCTATAAGGGGCAAAATTAATCTCTTCGCATGATTCTCTTGTTTTTTTTCTAGGTTTGCAACAGAAATACTTTGCAATGGACAGCCATCAGAGGTGAGTTTTCTTAATGATATCTCATCACGGCCTAATATATAGAGGATATTGAAAAATGTAAGCAAACCACCTGGAGAAATGGGCCTCAACTGGCGTCCTCCTCATTTGAGATTGGAAACTCAGTTGCATGCGGCATGAAGTAATCATCGCACTGCTTTGTGCTACATCATGTCAACACCCTGATGAACTGCACCCATGTGGAGTGGAATAGTTTACGCAGGACAATCTTTGGCTTGTTGCAAGGTATTTTGCACCTGGTTTGGGTGACTGCAGTCCTCTGCCCACTTTTGGAAACTTTCAAAGGGCTTTGTGCCCTTGTCACACCTTATCCCAAAGATTTCCTGTGGTCCAACTCCCCCGCTCTGTTATTTGGGTTAGTTTGGGGAGAGAATCTGCAGAACAGGCTCCCACCCTAAAGCCTGAATTCATACAGTATCAGAACTACTGTTCAAGAGGACTGTTCGAAGCCTTAGCTATTAGCCCCTGTCATTTGTTGTTTCTAGTGAGATGTTTAATCGTCACGTTCTCAGTGAGGACAAGTCGGTGGTGAGCCAGATGCAAAAGAAGTACTGGAAGACGAAGCAGGTCCTCATCAAAGCAACAGGCAAGAAAGAAGATGAGCACGTTGTGGCATCAGATGCAGATCTGGACGCAAAACTGGAGGTAAACCTGTTGGGTAGCTCCCTCTGTCCCCTGTGTCTATACACCGGGCGGTTAGAGATCCTAGGCCCAGGATTCACTTTGTCTTGGCTCATCAGACTAATTTGTCTTTTTTTTAAAATATAAATTTATTGCACCCTATTATTTTCTAATTTTCTTCCCACTGACATATGCCTCTCTGCGCTTGCTCTGCTCTCCTCTTGCTGGGGTGTTGTTTCACAAGCACTGGTTGCCTGTCTTAAATTTTTAAAAGTCATCCAGAATCATAGAAATTGTACAATTCAGCCTCAATTCAGAAGCCATTTCTTTTTAAGATCTGCAGAAAACTGGCTTCCAAATTATGGCTGAGTTGAAAGATTTTCCACATTTCTGCGGGATGTTACCCTTTAAGACAGAACTGCTTTGCAGTCTAAGCCTGGGCTTAGTTTTGCAGAATAAGACAAGGATAGCAGCAGCATTTTGGTGCTGAAATCAAATTGATTTGGTTTCAATCTCTTGAAATCCACATTGTTGTTGAGGGATTTACAGAAAAATAAAAACTCAGTAAACTTCTATATGCAGATAGGGCGGACACCTGCTCACTATGCCTACGGATGGCAAAACTAATCATGCCCCAAAAAAGTACAACAGAGCATCTCAGTTATTAAGCCCCTCCCTGAAGTGCAAGTTTGCTTTCAATGGGGGTGCCCTGTTGAGCCGCCGTTACCGGGTGCGCAGGTCCTTTCCGTCACGAACTGGCCGGCTCGAGCTATAAAAAAAAAAGGCTAACTTCCAGAGCAAAAAAATCTGACTTATGGAGCATGTTGCACAGGATGCCCTGATGACATCACACAGGAAGTAGGCAGCAGCGACCTGATGACCTGAAAGTTGTCAGGTCATTCTTTCATGCTCCATCTTAATGTGGGACTCTTTGATATTTGTCCAAGACCACAAGGTTGTCCTATACTTATTTTAATTTTGGGGTTGGATTTTTGGCAGATCAAGAGAAATGTATACTGGTGCCGTGGAGTGGAATAATTTTCCATCATATTAGCAGACTACCCAGGGGGAAGAAAACACACATCCTGAAGCATTTCTTTGCTTAACAAAACAAAAAGCAAACTGGAAATGTGTCTTTAAGTATTGTTATTTTCTGAGTCCCTTTGTCCGTTTCTATCCTGAATAATACTTGCATTTGATACAGCGCCTTATCACTTCGTCGAGATGTCTCAAAGATATACAGTAAAGTGGTGTGACTGTATTTTTGTGGACGAAATGAAGGTCCTATCACTTGGTGTGGGGGAGGCAGTACCACACTTGCCAGCTGCCCTCCTTTACCTCACGCAAATGAGCCTAGTCAATGGGTGTTGGTATCCTATTCAATTTAGGGAGGTGCAGTCGGGGGCTGGAGCAGGGGAGAAAGAGAGAGCAATCACAACTGAGCTTGAATCTCCATTGTGCATACTCAATGACATTAGAACCATTTAGGACCAACTCCAGTAAAAGGTCCTTTTAACTGGGACTGAAGTGTTCGTTAGTTACACATCAGTCTTTTCAGCTTTCAACAAGACCGACCATTCAGTCCTTCTAAAAAAATTCCATTTCATTGTACGTGTAATTGATAGAGCAGCACCGTCACACGTTCACTTCTTCACGTACTGCATCATTCTCCTTTAAACCTTGCAGGCCATTTATCTGGTGCCTGACCTCTCAATTCTACCTCACAGCTGAGGCCTGGCAACAGGCTGTGTTTGCATGGTGCACAAACGCACTGTAGGGTGTGTGTGTGTGTCATTGCTCTTGGCAGACAGCCCAGTTTAAGCATAAATGGCTTGGGGAGAGTGAAAGAAACTTGCGTGCCACTGGCTACAGCACTGCCCTGACATCCCGATGTAACCGGTTTGGGATTATAATTCGCCACGCTGCAAAGCACAGGTGGCCTTCTGCTGTTTTTAACCGGCATGGGACAACCTGAAAACCAGTGGCAACAGAACCAGTTCTTAATCAGCCTGAGGCTTCTGGTGCCTGAAACCACCTCGCTGGAGCCAAATAATATACAGTAAACTCCTGATAACTGGACCCTCGCTTAAGTTGTCACTAACACTTAAGTCATCAAGCTGTCAAAATCGTGGTTGTGTTTATTTAAGTATTTATACATAGGGCTAACTCGCTATTCCTGATAACTCATCACTGAGCCCCTTTCCCTTTGGATACCAGAAGTATCAGGATTTACTGTCATCAAAATTCTTGCTTTTGATACAGAGCCTAGTACCACATCGCTAAACTACTCAAAGCACCTCACAATAATTACTGCTCAGTGCAGTGACTGTGTATTTGTTGGCAAACTCAGCAGCCAATTTGTAGACTTCAGCGTCCCACGAATAGCAGAAAGGGAGTGAATGGCTAATTTATCTGGAGGATTGCTGGACACCAGAGGAAACATCCTTCTCATTTTTAACTGTGTTGTGGATTCTTTAACACCCACCTGAACAGGTAGTTGAACTTCAGTTTAGCATCTCCTCCAAAGGACAGTACCATTGACAATGCAATGGTCTTTCCTCCATTTCCCACCTCCAACACTACTCTGTGCGGGTGTGAATGCTTGTGTAAGCAATGGTTTGTACGTTTCACTCCTGCCTGGGCATTTTCTCTGACCTCCAGGCAGACAGGGGCAGGGAGTGTTGTCATTTCATTACTGGATTGTCAGGGTTTCCTTTGATCAGTGGGGTGTGCGATGGGGGTAGAGACGACCCCATCTTTCCCCAGCTATATAATGTGACAGCCAGCTTATTTAGCTCACAGAACTGAATGTTGTTGTAACCAGCAGATACAAATCCTGCATGGAGTGTCACGTTACGTCTTGTCTCAAGGCTGCCTGTACAAGTAGGTTGCGTTGCTTGAACAGCAGGATTTATAACCCTGATGAGGTGTGCAGGGAGAAACTCCACCGTTTACTGAAGGGCGCTTGTGCAATAACAACAAGTTGCATTTGTATAGCCCATTTCACAAGGGGTAGCGTCTTGGAGTGCTTAACAATGCCATAGCTCGATACTTAGCCGGGAGACAGGGGAGCTGACCCTAGGCACGGTCGAAGAGGAAAATTTTCAGCTGTGATCTAAAGATGGCTAAAGAGGGGGCAAGACAGAGAGATTTGAGAGAGGTGAAGTCCTGTATCTTAGTGGTTAGAGCATTCGTCTCTCAAGCAAGAGGACCTGGGTTCGATTCCCTGGCAGGGCAAAACATTGGGCAAGTTTCCTTACAACAATAACAAGATTATATTTGTATAGTGCCTTTCACGTCCCAAGGCGCTGGACAATGTAAAGCATTTCAGACCCGAGCTGGGGTCAGTGGGGGGAGAAGGGAGGGGAAGGGTGGTAGCTGATGGCATGGTCGAAGAGGAGGGTCTTGAGGCGGGACTTGAAGGAGGCTAAGGAGGGGTCGAGGCGGAGTGACGGGAATGGAATTCCAGAGTTTGGGAGCAAAGTGGCTGAAGGCTCTCCCACCAATTGTGGGGCGGGTGGGTCGGGGGACGTGGAGCAGGACAGAGCCGGCTGATCGGAGGGAGCGGGCAGGTTGATAGGGGTTTACGAAGTTACAGAGGTAGGGTGGGGCGAGGCCATGGAGGGCTTTGTAGGTGAGGACCAGGATCTTGAACTGGATCCTCTGAAGGATAAGGAGCCAATGGAGTCGGGCAAGAGTGGGGGAGATGGGGGTCACAGAGTTTGGTGCGGGAGAGGACACGGGCTGCAGAGTTCTGGATTATCTGCAGCCTGTGGAGGGAGGAGGTGGGAAGGCCGACAAGCAGGGCATTTGCATAGTCGAGCCTGGATGTGATGAAGGCATGAACAAGAGTTTCAGCGGCCTGAGGGGTGAGGTAGTGGCGGAGTCGGGCGATGTTACAGAGGTGAGGGAAGGCAGAGTGGGTCATGGCTTGGATGTGGGGAAGAAAAGACAGTTGAGTGTCGAACAAGACACCTCGGTTCCTGACTGGTTTACTTCACACACCTCTTGTTCACTAGTAGTAAATAGGAACCCAGTTGTTAGACAATTGGTGGATCGTTTGTCCGGGGATAATAATCCCTTCAAAATTAATTAAATAAATAATAATTTGGTCATTCAATCCATGGCTGCTTGTGGAACATTGCTGTGTGCAATTGGCTGCTGCGTTTCGCCCACAAAATATGAGTCAATTCACTTTACAGTATATTCTGTGAAGCGCTTTGAGACGTCTCCAAGACGTGATAAGGCACTATATCAAATGCAAGGATTATTTTTATTATTAAAGCATTGAGTCGTCTTTCACTAGCATTTCACTACATTATTGTTGTTGATGCCCCTGATCTGATCTCCTCTCTGTTCCTAGTTTGATCTCCTCTTTCTGGAGTGCGGTTCCTCAGGTACTGTTTGCCTTCCAGTATCCCGCCCAAGTAGCCATTGATCATGTATGAGCCTCGGCAGTGAGTGCCGGCAGGTCACTTGATTGTAGGGGTCATCACAGTCAAGCCTGATCCTCTCCTCATTTACCCGCACTAAGAGTAGAGGGTGCTGAAGAGGGACCAGGGACGGAAAGTCCTGGGAAGGCAAGTGCTAATTTAGCCACGAAGACCATGAAACTGCACCGACCACGATTCGAACCAGCGCCTTCCTGGCCCATAAGCTATAGCTCTATCCTCTACAGCAAAAGGGCCGCCCAACCAATATGTTTTAACACACTTCAATGCCGTTATATGGTTTGTCTGTTCCAGATTTTCCGTGCAATCCAGACATCATGTATGGAGCTCCTGAAAGTGATTGAGATTTACCAGCACCGATTGTACAGTAAGTACCTTGGCGTTTCCTCTTCTGTGGGACAGACAAAAGAAATAAACAACCACACCAATAAACAACAGCTTTCTTATAACACAGCATATTGGAGTGTGGAGTCCTGTAGCTCAGTGGCTAGAGCACTCGCTTTGCAAGCGAGAGACCTGGGTTCAATTCCAGGCAGGGCGAAACCTTGGGCAAGTTTCCTTACTCCACACGCCTAATAATAATCCCTCCAAAACAAAAAACAATAATAAATTGGTCATTTTCAATCTACGACTGTTTGTGGGACATTGCTGTGCGCAATTGGCTGCCGCGTTCGCCCACAAATATAGTCAATTCACTTTAGTGTGTTCTGTGAAGCGCTTTGGGACGTCCTCCTGACGTGAAAAGCGCTATATCAAATGTAAGGATTATTATTATTATATTCGATAGCCCTTCTCATTTTGGGGGGGAGCTGGGTGTCTGTCAAGTGCATAAAAAAACACACTTAAGTGTATCCAAGCCAACTACTGAGAATTCCATGTTTTTGTAGAAATTTTCTGGAATGAAATCCCTCAAATGCATCCTGCTAACCTAATACCATGGAGTGTTAGGCGAGGGTTGGCAAGAGACAAGCCTTGGGGATCTCAGAGTATGTGTTCTGATACTACTGGAGTTTAGCCAGCTAAAACCATGCAGCTTTACATTGAGGGCATTATCTGTTAAGTTTTCCCCTGCTTGTCCAGTTAGGACCACCCTACCTTTCAGGGCTTTGGCTTGCAGAGTTAACAGGAAAACATCCCTGTACCTTGTGACTAGACTCTCAAGTCCTCTTGTTCAACTAGACTGGCTTGCCTGTTATCAATAGTCCCTGGAGTAACGTGGATCTGTCTGGCTCAGGAACTTGCACTTCATCACATTAAAATGTCTTTGCAGAAAGTTATTTTTGAATGTAGTGACTTGTTAAGTAGGCAAACATGACAAATATTCCAGCAAAGATCCTCAAACTATTACCAGCAATGATCCCCAAACCTCATGAAGGAAACCCTTTAAGAAATACTGCAAGGTAAAGCCGGTGTATTTTTTCAGTAATCCTATGTTTTCTTTCTCCCACCTGAATCTGATTGATGTCTGGCAAGGGTTGCGGGTGAGACCTGAGCCCCCGCTCACTCCCATTTGGTTGTCCAAAAGATAATAATAATCCTTGCATTTGATATAGCAACTTATCATACTGTTGAGACGTCTTAAAGCACATCACAGGATATACTGTAAAAGTGGATTGGCTGTGTATTTTGTGAGCAGCAGTGTCCCACAAACAGCCTTGGGAATAATCCCGAAGTTTTATTAAACAATATTTAAACAATCCCCACCCAGGCAGATGGGACCTCGGTTTAATGTCTCTTCCGAAAGACAGCACCTCTGTCAATAAGAAGTTAATGTTAAGCAAATCTTGATTGCTGAGTTTGTCGTTCACGTGGTGCAGCTTGTAGGTGGTACTATTTACCAGCATCTTTTGCGGGCTACCTCCAGTTGCTATGGAGTCTATGCTTCCCTGAGTAGGGGGAACACAACAAAAGTGAAGAGAAAGGGTGGGCTCTCCACGTTTACTCTGCAATTGTGCTGTGGTCTCAGTGTACATGGTTTACAGCAGCGTTGTCAGTCCTCCACTTTTGTTCCCCTGCTGAGGTGTAGGATAGATGTGACACGGCACACAAAGTATTCCTGTTCCACTCGTCTGCACACAATACCTGTCTACAGACAAAATGAGTCAGGGAGCACACAAAACACACCACCACATACACTCCGCACACATTCCCTGCAACATGGGTTTGATGAAGTGTGTATCTCACCAGATTTCCTATGTTGATTGATCTTTTATATCTCGGTCACAGCCCTGTCCCTGGAGGAGAATGAGCTGGGCATGTTCTTGAAATCTCAGAGTGAGCAGGATAAGACCACAGCAGGGAAGATGATGAATGTTACCAGCAAGGCCCTGTGTGGCTCAGCAAAGCAAAGGTACTATCTCTAAATCAATAACTAGCCTGTGAGACCATTTTGTCTTAATGTTGAAGACCGCACAGGATCACGAAAATGTGTTACTCTGCAGCTCTTGTAAAAATGGACTAAATTTGAGAATTATCCACAATTTTATATGGTCTTAGAATTTGAGACAGAATGGATTTAAAGGCTATGTCTATCTGTTTGTCACTTACTCTGGGTATGTGTGTGTGTCTCGCTGGTGCTCTGTTTCTCTGTTATTCTCTCTGTTGTTCTCTTTGTCTCTTAGTCTCTCTCTATCTCTCTCTCTCAGTCTCTTAGTCTCTCTCTTTCTGTGTGTATGTCTCTCTCTTTGTCTGATGTTAGAAGTGGGTTCGGCAGTAAAGGGGACAATCAACAACACCTTAGTATCGCTCTCTTGGCCCTTCCCAGACTCTCCCTGCGTGTCCCACTGTCCCGGCTCGAACAGGAGGTGGAAACATTCCGCCGCCGAGCAGTCTCGGACACTCTGCTGACCATGAACCGGATGGAGCAGTCCCGCACGGAGTACAGGGGGGCACTTCTCTGGATGAAGGATGTCTCTCAAGAGCTGGATCCTGACACATACAAGCAGATGGAGAAATTCAGGAAGGTAGGGATTCACGGTGCCTAATATTGGATCGAAGATCATGCATATACTGCACATAGGCCCAAAATTGCCCGGTCTTAGCTAGACTAGCCAACCAGGAAAATGGCTAATAAGGTCATTTTATCCTAAATTTTAATATTGGGGATTTATCAAAAACTCTTGATTGTTTGGAAGCTGCTTTCTTTTTTTAAGAACTGCAATAAACCAGCTTCCAAACTGAGACTGGGTTTAAGACCTTTCAACAGTGAAAAATTTTACGGCAAACTGGTCTCACGGACTAAGATTGAGTGCAATTTCAGGCCTCATATGCAATCCTGGGAGAATCCCACCAACACACTTCACCCGCCACACAATATTTACCGGCTGGTCTATCCTCGTGCTGCTATCTGAAGAGGACTTCAGACTCGGGTAAAAACAAGTTCATTTCAATTGTGGATTTGACAATTTACTAGAATGCATTGCACTTGTGCTGGGGGAAGACAAGGATGCAAGGTACCAATAACATAAACATGAGTAGCAGACCCTGCTCGGGTCCTGACCCAACTGTCCAGCGCCTTGGGACGTCCTCCCGACGTGAAAGGCGCTCTATAAATGCAATCTTGTTGTTGTTGTAGGAGCTGGAGATGATTCCTCATTACTCTTGCTCTTACGTGGGATCTCCAGGCAAAGAATTAACTTTGAACTGTTGTGTATAGCAGAGTTTGAGGGGGGTGGGGGGGCTCATTTGAGGTATAAGATCCTTCAAGGGTCATTTGCAGACCCTGTGTGGTAATGGGAATTCCTATTTGTATGTGGAAGTTGAAGATCTTTAGCACACGATCGGGGGGAGGGTGGGAGGGCACCTCACCAACAACAACAACCTCTTGTATTTATTTAGCACTTCACATAGGGTCATGAAAATGTCACAGTGGGATCAGACTCCGAGCATAGGGGAAAGGTGACCATACGTGTGATTGAAGGGATTGGTTTTAAAGTGGGATTTGAAGAAAGATTGGGGTCAGGGAAAATGTGGTGTGACAGAGGCAGGGAGTTCCAGAGGTTAGCGGTGTGAAGGCTCAGTTGCTGATGATGGCGAGGAGGGAGCGGGGTTTTAAGTATAGTTATTCAGATGTTGGTTTATTTCATAAGACAAGGTCTCCTTGGAGCTGAACTGGTTTGGATACTCTTAAGTGTATGTATCCTCGTGTCAGAGAGACCACAGCGTTGCTCCTGCTGCTGGCAGGTCTCAATCACCCATTAGGCAACCTGTTGAAGATTCCTTGAACCATCAGTTCTCTGGGATGGCCCTAGCTTTGTTGTGTCTGAATATGCAGGCTCTTCTAGGTTTATTTCAGGCAAAAAGTTGAGCACTTTTTTCGCTGACATGGAGCACTATGTAGACCACAGTGGTAAAGTTCACTAGTCCTACATATGTTACTCCCTGTCAGTAAACTATGGATAATAATAATAATAATAATCCTTGCATTTGATATAGCGCTTTTCACGTCGGGAGGACGTCCCAAAGCGCTTCACAGAACACACTGTAAAGTGAATTGACTGTATATTTGTGGGCGAACGCGGCAGCCAATTGCGCACAGCAATGTCCCACAAACAGTTGTAGATTGAAAATGACCAATTTATCATTGTTTTTGGTTTTGGAGGGATTATTATTAGGCTCTGTGTGGAGTAAGGAAACTTGCCCAAGGTTTCGCCCTCTGCCTGGAATTGAACTCGGGTCTCTCACTTGCAAAGCGAGTGCTCTAACCACTGAGCTACAGGACTCCACATGAACTCAGGAATAGCAGGATGCCTTTCTTTCCCCACCCCCTCCTCTCTCTCTCTCTCTCTCAATCACTCTCTTCACACACTTTCTCATGCACTCTCCCTCTCACACACTCTTTCACACACTCTCCCGCGCACACTATTCTCTCCCCCCCTTTCTCACACACTCTCTCCTGTGCCTATGGTCATCTCCCCCACCCACTTCTCCCTTGCTTGGTGTCTCAAACCATCACTGTACACTTGAGGCGCTATACTATGTAAAGGCTGCTGTATAAGTACAAGTTGTTGTTGTAGCAGCTCTCCTGCTTCCATTGGCAGAGATCAACAGGGGCTGAGACCTTCCTGGCTCAAGTGCTCACAGGATAAACACACCGGGCCGCCGGGGGGCTGATTGTTGCTGGGCTTTGAGAGCAGATATGCCTTTCAGAACTGATTGAATAATTCCATTTGTTTTGATGTGAGTGTGTGTTTTGTGTGTGTGTATGCGCATACGCACAAAGCGAGCTGGTTCCTTTCCTGAACAGCCTGCTGGTGCTCAAGGCCTTGACATCCCCCAGTTTCATGTGCTACAGCAAGACCATTGTAGGGAATAGCTGCAGTGTGTCGTGCCATGGTTGAGCGCACCGTTTGCTTGTTAGCTTAAATCAGCCTGAAGAGCCCTTCTCCATGGGCTGGCTGCACAAGAAGAGGAGCTTTGATGCTGCAGGTTAATTTTAGTCATGCTGACTGTGTCGACTCGTATAATACCACATTCTGTTTATCAGACGTCAGTGATATCAATTGATTCTTACGGTGGAAACATGTTTGCTTCAGGAACAGTACACAGAACGCTGGCTAATGCAACCTTGTGGGTGAACAAGGCAACCAATTTGCGCACAGCAATGTCCCACAAAAAAAAGCAATAATAAATTGGTCATTTTCAATCCACGACTGTTTGTGGGACACTGCTGTGCGCAATTGGCTCCCGCGTTTCGCTCACAAATATACAGTCAATTCACTTTACAGTCTATTCTGTGAAGCGCTTTGAGACGTCGAGAAGACATGAAAAGCACTATATCAAATGCAAGGATTATTATTATATTATTACAAAACAACCATGGAGTGAATGACCAATTTTATCTGAGGGATTGTTGGTCAGGACACCGAGAGGCAGAAGGTTGTGGGTTCAAGCTACACATCGGGATTTGGAATCACATAGTCTAAGATGATACTCCAATGCAGTGTTAGGGGTGTGCTGCATTGTCAGAGGCGCCATCCTGACTTTAACCTGCGATCTGCCTATTCAGGTGGACATTAAAGATCCCATGGCACTATTTGAAAAGAAAAGGGAGTTTCTCATAATGTCCTGGCCAATAAATCCTCCGAATAAAATTGGTCATTCACTTCACCGCTGTTTGGGATATTGCTGTGAGCAAACTGGCTTTTCGCTCACAAAATACACAGTCAAAACCAGTTTACAATGTTTTCTGCGAAGTTCTTTGAGATGTCTCGGCGACGTGATAAGGCATTAAATCAAATGCAAGGATAAACTTATCATAAACTCATCCAGGCAGACAATGGTTTATGCACTGATCTGTAGTGCACAGGTCTAGTTGTTCCAGGGAAATCTAAGAAAACAGTAATCCTTGCACATGGCTTTTCAGGTCAGCAGAATGTGTCAAAGTGTTAATTCCAAACCTTTTCACAAACAAGTCCAACTCCATCGGCATTTCAAAAACTCAACCCGAATGCAGGAAGACAAAATAACCGACTTCCATATAGTAAATAGTGGCATTGTATCACCACCGATGTCAGTTCTTGTGATGTTAGCAATTTAATGTTCAGAAGTCGGCCATTTTGGCATCCCATCTGCTAAAAAATGGCTACTTTGATCTCTTTCTCCTCCCCACCTCCCTTTGCTTCCAGCCCCAGTTTGGCTGCTTAGCCAGGACTGTCAGGCGTCTTTTGGATGTTCTCCAGTCGTGAAAGGCACTAAATAAATGTATTACATTGACATCAGATTGCCAACAATGTTATTTTCTGCATGCTGAGATTGGTAGGAAGTGAGGTTGATCTGATCAGCAGGAAGTCGAGAGTTTTAGTTTTCAACTCACCAGCTGACTTTTCTGAGGACTCGATTTCCACTCATGTGCATTGAATATGGAAGAGCAATCAGCGGGCTGCATTCAAGAGGGAAACAGGCGTGGGAGTAGTTGATGCTAATGGTTCCTGGCTTTATCTTGACCATGCTGCAGAGTCTGTTAGTTATCACAGTATTTCTGTCTGCAGATCAGTCCCTGTGGCTCTGGTACCATCCCAAAGTGCGGTTACCGTATAGCTTGAGTCATGTAGATATTTGGGGTGGGGGGGAGGTCATTTTAAAGTCCAGGGGAGCAGCTTCATTTTTTCAAAAGGTGCCATTTAGTCCTAAAAGCAGCAGCGCAGAGTGTGGGTTGTTGCTGGGAGTGCTCATGCTCTGTCTGACTGTTGCAGCTATTTGTTTAAATGATGTTGTGGCTTGTGAATATGAGGTTATACTTCAGGAGCTTTTAGATGTGCATTGTGGCAAGGTTCGGCTAGCCAGCAGCAAAAGACTTGGAGTTCAGAAATGTGCAAATGGTTTATCAGACTGACAGGGCGAGTCGACTCCTCAAAAATCCGTTGGGACTAAATACCATTTTAACCTCCTGGTTCATAAACATTCCCTGAGGTAATGGAGGTATTGGAAGGACATTCCAAAGACTTTAAAATGAAATACCGATTAAAAGTGTTTTGTGGTGTATCTGCTCTCGCCTCAGCTAAGTCATCTTTTTATTCCAAAATCATCTTGGAAGCTAAGGACCACCCCAGATTCCTCTTTTCTACCATTAACCAACTCCTCCGTCCACCCTCCCATGCCTCTGCCATCCTCTCCTCCCAACACCCAATGCAAGGAGATGATAGATTTTCTTGAGTGCAAAGTCGAGGGGATCCGCTCTGCTACCTCTACCCCATCTACCGCCACCCAGTCCCCACCTCTCGCTCCCCTTCTAGACCCCACCCATCCCTCCCTCCACACTTTTGACCCTGTCTCCCCCTCTTCGCTCACCTCCTTCATTTCCCATATGAAACCCACCATCTGCTCCTTTGACCCCATCACCATTCCTCTCCTCACCTCCCAGCTCCACTTCCTTGCTCCCCTAGTATCAGACCTCGTTAACCTCTCCCTGTCCACTGACACCATATCTATCCCCCCTAAAGACAGCTGTCATCACCCCTACCCT